TCTTAGATGACTTTGCTTCTCATCCTTTGTTAAAGAACAGAGAACAAGATATGTGTCGAATTCTTAAGAAGCTCAGACACTTTAACATCTCAGTTGTCATTTGTGTACAGACAGCAAAGAGTTTAAGTAAGGATGTTAAAAGAATACTTACTGATATCATACTTTTCCCTGGATTGTCCGAAGACGATTTCATGGAACTTATGAAAGAGTCCATGGCAGGTAAGTTTGACAGACATGAACTATGGGAGAAGTACAAAGTCATACAAGACCCTCATACTTCTTTCAGAATTCATATCTACGCGAACAAAGTTCAAATTGTAAAAAGTCAATAAAAATAAATGGTTCATTTACTCTGCTTGTTTGAAGTTGTCAAAATACTCTGTTATTTTTCACGATTTTCATGAGTTTTAGGCTAGACCGGTAAAAGTCGGTCTAGAGAAATTTCATGAAATTTGGTCATTTTTTTCAGCAAAAATATATTTTAGGGTAGAAGGGTATATCTACCCCGTTTTCTACCCTCATTTCTACCCCAGTTATTTTATAAACGTTTCACATGGTAAACGTTATTTTTTAAATTTTGTGAAAACTCAACGGTTTGACACAAGCCCTAAAATATATTTTACTCAGAATTTTACTCAGAATTCAATAAAAATATATTTTAGGGTAGAAGGGTATATCTACCCCGTTTTCTACCTCATTTCTACCCCAGTTATTTTATAAGCGTTTTACATGGTAAACATTGTGAATTCGTGAAATTCTAAACAGTTTCGTAGCTTCTATTTTCACGAAGGATATCGAATGTTTTCACAATGCCGAAAGTTTCTTTATATTTCTTCTTGACATCTGAAAGAAGGAAATCGTCAGCTGTTGGATAGTTTTTGTTTAGAAATGTCAACATGTCCATTTTATCTTCTGCTGGTTTCTCTGCCTCCCTCTTTAAGTCAGCATAGTCGTTTCGCATACGTTCTATCTCTTTGACGGAGTAGTTATATTTCCTCATTGCTGCTTTACATTTAGAACATTGTGGGTTCATTTTTGCGTTATATTCTGAAACCTTACTGCTAGTATGACTAAGGCGTCAATTGCTCTCTTTAACTCAAAAGTTGCGGGTTTTATCTGTTCATTCCATATCTTACCTCTTCTATCTTTATCTCTTATCTGCATACACATTTTGCAACTAACGAAACAAAGTTGTCGTAGGTCTTAAACTCCCCAGATTTGTATATGTCAGAGATGTTCTTATATACCATATCGCAATCTTTGTCCATGACTTTGTGGTTGCAATGAAATCCAAGAAACTCATAGTTAACCTTTCGTATGAACTTCTTTATTTCTACTGAGTCAGTTGCTTTGACTTCTATTTCATCGAATTCTGGAATAGTAAGCTTTTGTTGTTGGATTTCAGGCAATTTGGGTAAATGGTCAATAATATCCTGCATTTCATAAAGATACTGTTCATTTGTTTCATCTTTCGCACTACAGTCTAAATTACTTGTTAAAAGTTCCTGCTTTATCTTCTGGATTTCTGTTTCGAAAGTATATGAAGAAGGAATGAAGCTTTTCATCTCTACTAACATTGACGTAGGATTCATGACTAACGAGTTTGGTGCTGTTGTTGCTAACATGTTCTTACAATAAAAATAAAAAATATTTTTTTAAAAAAACCAACTTTATTTTTTATTTCGGGAAAACTCATGACAAATTCAAGAGGGTAGAAAAGAGGTTAGAAAAGAGGTTAGATATACCCTTCTACCCTAAAATATATTTTTGCTGAATTCAGCAACAAAGTTCAAATTGTAAAAAGTCAAGCTTGAAAAATGTAAGTGTTTAGTCTTAGTAAGATGGTAGCTTCTTAAAGCAAATACCATTGCTGAGTTTTATGTACGTGAAGAGAAGTACAATGAATTCAATTACGAGTACAATTGCAATGACAACTAAGGCAACTATTTTTGTCTTTTGCCAGCAAGGGTACTTCTTCTCTTCCAATGGTTCGGCAGAACTATACTCACTCATGAGAAATGCCAAAACGGTTTAATAGAAAAAGTGTCATTTTTTCATGTCCGAAGACTCGAAGGTGCAACACTTCCAAAATACCGACGAACTCAGAAGAGCAGCATGGCAGTATGTTCTTGACAACTTCTTTGAGTTCTCCAGGCACACCTTGGAAAATGCTGAAGAACTCCGACATAGAGAATTTGGAGAAATTGCACTCCAATACTACATTGACAAACAAAGGGTAAACAAAGGGTAAAATAAGACTAAAAACTTAACGTTTAAAAAGTGACATTTTTATGAGCTCCGAGTCACCGAGAAAACTTGGTCAGATGTTAGCAGCTTACTTCCCGAGGAGGATGGAAGCGTTACATACATAGGTTCAAAAACAACGAACCTGGAATTGCGTACCAAAATTCGCAATTACATGACCATGGAAGAGTACGAAAGGTTCTACAAGAGAAACCAGCTCTAAACAACTCAGAAAAGAAAGAATAAAAAGTTTAACTCGTAATTGTTTATTTTTTTACTTGTATGGGCAAGCTGCAAGAATGAAGTCGACTATCTCGGTCTTTGTCTTGACCAGTTGGACTGCTCTTGCGAGTACGTCTGTTTTGCGGTCTCCAGCTGGTGTCTGACCTTCGTAATTGCGCATGTTCTTGAGAGCTCCAACTGTAAATGGTTGTAGGATGAAGAGTCTCTCAGACTGCTTGAGGTAGTCGTCACGGTCACGAACCGAATCTGTGGTACGAGTCGAATTGGTCGACCTTAGGGAAGAGACTGAAAGCCTGTCGTCTTCCATAGGGGCTGTGGCATACTCTTTGCGTAAACGGTTCAGACCTTCTTCGAACTCTTGGTCTCTCTTGGATTGAGATTGGAATTGGAATTGGGGTGGAGGGTTTGACATGAACATCCAAGGGTTAGGGCAGTAAGGCATAGGCTGAGGAGGGTAGTTCGGGAAGCCTTGAGGAGGTATTTGGTAGTAATTTGGAAATTGGTAGTAATTCGGAGGTACTTGTTGGAACTGAGGTACTTGTTGGAACTGAGGTTGCTGAGGTGCAGGGGCTGGTGCTTTAGGTTCCTCTGGTTGGGATATGGGCTCGGTTGGTGGTACGTCGGACATTGTCTTGAAACAATAAAAGACTTGTCTTGAAACAATAAAAGACTTGTCTTGAAACAATAAAAGACTTGTCTTGAAAAAGTAAAAGACTTGTCTTGAAAAAGTAAAAGACTTGTCTTGAAAAAGTAAAAGACTTGTCTTGAAAAAGTAAAAGACTTGTCTTGAAAAAGTACGGGTATCGTCTGAAATCAAGACCACTGTTCTCAAATTTGAGAACTTTACACCAAAAAATTTCTTGAAAAATAACGGGTCTTGTCTTGAAAAAGTAAAAGACTTGTCTTGAAAAAGTAAAAGACTTGTCTTGAAAAAGTAAAAGACTCGTCTTGAAAAAGTAAAAGACTCGTCTTGAAAAAGTAAAAGACTCGTCTTGAAAAAGTAAAAGACTCGTCTTGAAACAATGACCGACATAGACCCAGCAGATGAGGCAATCTACCTTATAGAGATAAATGAGCTAGTTAGGAACTACCTGAGCCATCTGAAGTCAAACAAGACCATTGCAGGCTGGGTGTCTGGAAGAAGTGCGCTTAAAATTGAAATTGACACTGGAATTGTCCTGCAAATACCAGAAAACACTCCTTTCGACGACATAAAAGAGATGAAGAAAGAAGTCCTCTTGAAGTTCTTTGCCAAGCGTCCTTGGATACTACTTCCAAACAGAGAGAACCCAACTGTACGAATTGCCCAAATTCTCAGAGGACTCTTACACTTCTCGGGTCGGGCGTTCTTCATAAACACAGAGGGCGACATCGTACCTTTACAGTAAACATCTCATTTTAACTTCACTTTTTTATGTTTTTACTCACACTCGTACTCAACAGGTATGTGTACACATATGTCAACTGTGAACCTTGTATTGACCGGTCTTCCTGCAAATGCAAGTTCGGTCAATACACAATTTATGGTGGCAAGAAAGACAGTGGGGAATGTTATTCTGACATCTGTTGTTGCGCTCGAGAGAGAATTGAAATTCCAGACCCAACTCCAACACCAACACTCAAGTTGCCAAAGACTCATGTGAAGAAGAAGCCTTCTGGTAAGTTTCTTATAGCCATATACATGGCACGTTTAGAGTAAAAACATTTTTTTTCATTTTTTGAATGAAGCAAGTTAAATTCGTCCCACACCAATCTCAATGGACCGATGAAGAGTTTCAAGCCATGGTTGAAGGCGTTGAGAACGACATAGACGGCGAACTTGAAGGAGCTCAAATCACAATTGCAACCAAAATTGCAGAAGTCAAGGAACAGATAGCTCCACTTAAAGCTACCAAAGCTACTCTTGACCTCATGGATAGTTACCGTTTAGATGTCAAGAGTGGAATAAGACATTTAAAATTAAAACTTCTAAACTACGAAGCTATACTCCAAAAGTTAGCAGAAATGAGAAGACTTTACCAGAGCTACTTACATGTAAGGGACTTACCTTCAAGCAGTCCGACCAAAGATGAATTTTCTGACATTGTCCCAATTTTGTCCGAAAGTCAGCTCAGATGTTTTGAACTGCTCCCAACATATCCAGAATATGAACGTTTGCCTGAACTCTTCCGCAATCTCAAAAAACGTTTTTTGGTTCTCATGTTCGAAACTTTTATCGGAAGAGACAACAAACGTTCAGAAGAAGAACAAGATATTATTTTAAACTTGTTGTATGACTTAACCGTCATAACAAGCTTTTTGAAGTAAAACCGTCATTCTCAAACCACTTCATTTTTTCGATGTCCGAACAAGCACCGAAGCCGAACACAATGGCAGATGTCCTTTCAATGTTGCCAGACAAGCGCCCAGTTCAAATTCAAATTTTGAATTTGAAAGCTCATCTGACAAACACCGTTAAGACTCTCCAAAGTAGTCTTATGGAAGAGATGAAGGGACTTAAAGGTGAGTTCCTCATGAACCAAGCTTCCAATGAGAAAGTCCTGAATGATTTGACGGAAACCTTGCGCATTTACGCGAGAGAGAACCGAGACCTTGCCAGACTCATCTACCGTTTCTTCGAAGAGATAGATGCCATCTGGAAGGTACTCGGAAAGGACAGAACATGCAACACCGTAATTCGTGAGCACCAAATTGAAGAAGGAATTTTCGAGGAAGAAGAGGAACACGAAGAAGAAGAGGAAGAAGAAGAGAAACACGAAGAAAAGGAAGTTTGGGCAACCCTTGTTGCCGATGACAGTTATGAAATTTCCCAACCCTACCCATACAAAATCCGCAACAAGGAGACCGGCAAGGTTCTTACCCCAGTCCTCAACAACTTGGGACACTTGACCCTTACCCTTCGAAATTACGGTACAATTTCCATGGGAAGGCTTGTCGGTATGCAATGGGTTCCAAATCCAAACAAGAAGACGAAGGTCAGACACATTGACGGTGACAAGCTCAACAACCGTAAGGAGAACCTCGAGTGGTTCTAAGAGTAAAAAAATTTTATTTTAGGGGGAAACCCCGAGTAAATTTAGGTGTTTATTTAGTTAAGTAGCTTAAATTAATGAGAATTTGGACAAGTAGTTCCTGACCCCTGAATTGGACTCTTTCGTCATCCCAGTTGCCTAGGAGGTCGTCCCAGAGGAGTTGGTAGAATTGCCAATCCAAGGACGATTTGTCCTCCCAGGCATTGAGGATGTACTGCTCGTAGAGTTTCATGACCTCTGCCTTGCACCAGACACCCTCTCCCTTGGAACGTAAGGCTTCTTCGAAGTGCTCGAATGCGATTGGCTGCGTGACCATCTGAAATGACACTTTTTGTCCGTTTGGTCAATGTTTGTGTCTCGTGCCATAGTCGACGAAAATACAAACAAACAGGTTATATATGAGTTTGAGACCAAGAATGGTGTAACTCGACCTGTCCGATTCAAATTCGAATAAAAATTTTTTATTTCATGCAATGTTTAACTATTTCACCATCTTCTTTAACACCCCAGTACTTCCTTTTCGATATTACATGAACTTCGGTGAAAATTTTGTCCAATTTGAATTGACCCATCTTTTCACCGACCATGCCCATTTCAATGAGTTTGTTATAGCCTTCTTCGTTCGTCATGAGCGCATCGATGTTCTCATAGTATACCTTCACTTTGGATTTAACTTCCGAGAAGAATTTGTTGTAGTTGTCAAGGACTGCCTTTGCGAACTGAGGGTAAGACCAATGTTCGACAATAGGTTTTAATGTGGTTACTAAGCCACTTTGACCTTGAGTGAATTCGTACTTCAAAACAAAAGGAGAAAACCTTTCAACAAAGTTGTCGACCTTCTCATAATGTTTACTCTTCATCTCTTGAGGTTTCTTAATGGAATATCCCCATGTCGAATTCATAAGCAATTTGAGTGTCATTGCAAGTTTGGGGTTTGAAGCTTTCCTAATATCATACAGTTGTTGTATGACTTTTCCAACTGTATAGTTCCTTCCCGGGAACTCACCATCTTCGTTTGGAATTCCAGTTGGAATATATTGGACAAACCTCATGTACGCAGCGTTAAGGTCGACATAGTATATCTTTTCATATGAGTCAAACTTGTCGCAACCAATCGGTCCAGTTTGTGGAAATTCAAGCGAGTCTCTTATCTTCTGAGAAACTTCTCCTGTTATCTCATAAACATCGTCGAAGCAACCTGTTTCATATAAAACCTTCTGACCTAACTCAGATGCTCTCCAATACAATTTGACGTCAATTGGATGTCTCAATGGAAGTTTGTTTATAGCATCTTGAAGTTCTTGCAACCTCATTGGAAGTTCTTCTGGTTCAGGTTGGTATCCGAACAATCCAACTCCTTGTGGAATTGTGTACTTCTTTTGTACTAGAACTTTGTCTGGAACAACTTTTGGTCTTGCTAACAGTGAAAAGTTTGTTTCGTCTTTTGGTACAAAAGTTTCTGTAAGCTTGTCATCTGGAATTGGTTCCAACAAACCTTTCTCGAAAAGAATGTTTACAGCTCTGACAATGTTGCACTTGCCTTTTCCGAACAATGGGTTTGTAAGACTTTCGTTCAACATGAAGTGGTTGTGGACAATTACAATCTTCAACCATGGTAAGTCTTTGTCAACAACATAGTCGTCATGTGAAGAACCTTTAGCTGTAGGTATGTTGACTCGGATATTGACATTTGCCAACGGTGCAATTTTTGCCAATTGACCTCTGAGAATGTACCTTGTCTTCACACATGACTCAAGATACTTCATCTTCTCTTCTGTAACAAGACCAGAGTTCCTGAGACATGTAAGAATGCAAGGTTCATTGACAATTGTTTCAATTGAATTGTAAATTCCATACCTTGTCAAGTCAATGTCAGACTTATTTATGAACGGGAAGTATCCAGCATGTTGTCTGACTGCTTGAGGGTTAGGTTGGTACCATTCAAATTTTACACTTGCAATTCCTTCAATTGCATTCAAAATGTCTGAGTCGGAGTCAACCATTTGTTCTCTCTTTGTAGTCTTGAAAGCGTCAAGAAGTTGTGCGGCTGTTGTGACATTGCCATGTGCATAGTATATATGACCATCTAAATCTGTTATGGTTAGTCTGAGATTGTATCCTTTCTTATTTCCGTCTTGTATGGCAGCAAGTACACCCATGAAGCCTTCTTTGTTCTTTCCTTCGTCAAAGTTTACTGTAAAGGTTCGACCAGATGTAATTTGACTTCTAACTTCACGGTACTTTTCATATGCATATCTTGTTCTTTCCATGGGAGCATGTTTGTCTTCACCTTTTCCTTTTTTCCTTCTCAAAGGATACAATTGTTCGTCATGTTTCCAATAGAATCTGGCAAAGCCGTCGTGTCCTTCAACTTGCGGTTCAGAAACATCGAAAGGCATGTCCATAAGACGTTCTTCTTCTAACCTCTCTAGTCTGTTTGGATAATTTGCGCGTGCTGTTTCCAATTCCATTTCGTAGCGAAGACCAGACAATTTGTCATAGACTTTTATGGGTCTTCCCTTCCTATATTTAAAATTCTTCGAAACTTTCCAACCATATCTTTCTAACTCTGCTTTTATTCTAGCAGATTTTCTATCCATTCTATATGGGGGCATTTTTATAAAAATAAAAAAATATTTTTTTCTTTACTTTACATAACCACCTGCTGCCATAAGTCTTTGACGCCAACCCATACCAGCTAATGAAGGTTGACTTGGTTTAGTTTGGAAACTAAACTTTGGTTTTGGTTTATCTTCAGTTTTTGGTTTTTCTTCTTCTATCGGTTTTTCGTCACTTTTCGGTTCCTCTGACTTTACCCCACCTGCAGGAACAGTTGTGTCGTCAACATCTTCATAAATATCATATGCTATTTGTTTTTGTTTTCCTTTCAACTTTTTGTGTTTGTTGTAAAGTTTAGAATATTTCGACTCTAAGTCAATGAGATGTTCTATAATGAACTGTTGGTCAGTGAAGTAAACTTTTCCATCTGTTGTCTCGAAAGCTCCTTCAGACTTCAATATTTTATTTGTGAGAGTCTGTTTCTTTTTTGAGATACTAGCCGTTCCATTTCTATGAAAAGTGACTTTATAGTTAGGGTTTGTATTTCCAGACCTGGCACTTTCTATTATTGAATTTTTCTCTTCATCTGTAAGTTCTTTGACAGGTTTTGACAATGGTTCTGAACTTTTTGTTTGTGGTGTCAAATCTACCGTTTCAACTTCTTCGGTCATTTCATCTCAGTAAAAAATTTTAGTTTGGTTTGTTTTCAACTGGTTGTTTAGGTTTTTTAAGTCGGTCTAAAACTTCCTGAGGTATAGGAAGAACTTGACAAACACGTGGTGGTGTAACTGCTGGAAGCCGACAAATCCATCTTGAGCCCATTTGTCTCAATGCTGTATTGTTCATTTCATCTCAGTAAAAAATTTTACATTCCCCACGTTTGAGGCGGTTGAGGTTGGTTGTTGTTTACCCACTGTTGTGCATGGTTATATCCTCTGTTAAAGAATCTTTCACCTTGGTCCATGTAGTGTCCTGCTTGGTTATAGTAGTCATTTGCTTTGTTATAGTAGTTTCCTGCTTGTCTTCCTACATTGTCCATCCATCCTTGAACTTTTCCTCTTGTTTCAGGATTTGGAATAAGATTTGCTGCATCTCGTGCTACCTCCCAACCTTTCTGTACAGTTTGTATAATAGGTTGTGCTTTCTCTTTCAGTATACCTAATGTACTCAAAATCTTCCTTCCAATTCCAAATGCACCTCTGGCTAGTGTTCCCACTGCGGGCAAAAATCTAGATGCGACTCCTGCTAATGCGCCAAATAAACCCATTTCTTATAGGATAAAAATGACGAATCCAAACAAGGACCCGTATGTTTCTAAAGCAACAAAGAAAGCACTCATGGTAAAAATCTTTAGTTCAACACCAAATGCTTGGTTTATGGATATCATGGAAAACATTCCGAGATATAGAGAAGATGGACCACCATACTGGCTAATATTTGTCGGTCAAAACACAAGATACTGTGAAGCCATACCATTACAGTCCAAAAATATTTTAGATGTGAAAACTGCTTTGACAATATTCGTTGACAAATACCATCCAACAAAACTGACATCTGACTGTGAAAGTTCTTTCAAATCAGATGATATTAAAAACTATCTGCGTTCAAAAAATGTAAACCAATATTTCATTGTCGACCAAAACCATTCTGCTCTTGGTGTCATTGACGGTTGTATAAAAATGTTAAGAGACTTAAACCAACCACAAGGTGGTGAAGCAAATGAAATGTCATATGACGACAAATATAGACACTTCTCCATGGCAAAGATGAGACAAGTTTTAAATATTTACAATAGCCGTAAACAAAAAGGTTTGGGAAACCACTCCCCCGAAGAAATGAAAAACAACCCTGACTTAGAGAAAGACTATATATTTAATAATTTAGTCAAAAGAGACAAACAAGAAAGAATGCCGGGCTTCAAACTTCAGAAAGGTGACAAAGTAAAAATAGAAATACCTAAACGCGACCCATATGAAAATACTATTGACTATGACAACAATGGGAACTCGACAGGTACTCACATTCGTGTTCGTAAAAATAGAAGAAAGTATACAAGAGAATATTATGAAGTTTTAGGCAAACATGGCAAAATGTACAGACTGCAAGCAGAAGATAAAACTACTATTGTCAGACCTCGTTTCAAACTTGTCAAAGTTCAAGGTGGTATACTTTCAAAGACAGTTCCTAACAAATATAAGACAACTCCTGACGAATATGCTAAAGAAGTTGAAAATGACGACTAAGCAATTCTATACCATGCGTAAACTGTCATGTAAGGTGGCATGTAGTCTTTACTCTGTCCCGTTGTTTGCGTATACCCTGAAACGCGATGTGTATGGTTTCCTTCTCCCTGTGTGCTACCCCAGAAACAATTTATAGCAAACTGAACGTTGTCTTTAACATCATATCCTTTACCTTTTTTCATTGCTGACCAATCCCAAAATCTATGCTTATGCCAACCTGCTTGAGATGTACTTAAATCTACGTAGTGACTATGCGCAGGTAAGTTTTCACCTGAAATCGTTTTACTTCCACCTGTTTCCTTTGAAGAGTTTGCACAATACAAAAACCTGTCGACTATTTGAGTCCAAGTTCCAAAACCAAGTACTACTTCTGGTCTGGTAGAGTTCATTGACGTGTAAATAGAACCTATAGGATATAATGTTTGAAGTATTTCTGTCTTTAATGTTTGAAGCTCTGTTTTGTCAGCTTTCTTATATAACTTTTCTTCAAGTTCATTTACGTCAGAGATGCTATGTCTATGATATTTTTGTGCGTATGTTCCTTCTGTCCATGTGAAAATATACTCTTTTGTTGCATCTACATATCCAGCTATCCATGTCGAGTCTGCTTTTGTATTCCTTAACTCTGTAACACCTTTCTCAAGCTCTTTCAACTGTTGTCCATCTTCCATTAAACCTCTGGTATGACTTGAAACCGTTTGTGCCAACATATCTACAGTTTCTTTGTCGGCTTTAAGGTCTAAACATCCTGAAACCCATCCTGTATCAGCTTTCGTTTTTAAAATCTTTGTTGTCCGTTCATTATACCATTCAACCCTTTCTTTAATTTCATTGTCTTTTTCATTCACATATTCCTTATCTGCCTTCTTCACTAACGCACTAGCCATACGTGCTAACTCATCGTCAACATACTCTTTGTCAGCTTTGTTGCCAACATCTGCTTTCAAAAGAAGTTCATCTATAGGTTTCTCGTTTAAAGTTCCTTTTGTTGGATTTACACAGACAGTATGGTTCTTGTTGTCTTGAAATAGAAACTCGTCTGTCATTGGGTTTATCGTCAGTTTTAAGTTTCCTTCTTTCAATGACTCAGATATCTTAGAATAGTTTGAAAAGTTTGTTGTGTTCTTATTTAGAGCTTGCAAAATGAGTTGTCGGTTGTGTTGTATTTCTCTCATAGACGCTGTTTCATTTGACATTTTTATTCTAGATAAAATATGCTTTCAATAGAAAAAGAAAATTCAAGAGTTGCTACAACTAAACCATTAGATGAACTTTTTACGAATGTCGGTCAAAAGTTTGAGACAGAGACCGTAAAGCATGAAGGCTATCGTTTTGACTACCCACTAAGATGGTTAAGAGACCCATCCGTCACAAAAGCTGTTGGCTTTCGTAGAATGAAGTTCATTTCAGAAGCCATACATGGTTTCCCATTTACGGTCGCTTTTGAAGTTCGATACTATAACAAAGAAAAACGTACGTATGAGAAATTTGAACAGGGAAAACTTTTACAAGTGAATTTGCTTGTAAACTTAGAAACAACTCTTCAAGCTTTTCAAGAAAAAATAAACGATATCTATCTCGAATATGCAAAACAGTACAACATTGACGAAGGAGAGTACCATCTCGATATTATATATGACAGGAAAAATGCAACTGTTAAAATCAATAGAATAGAAGACCTTGGAGAAGACGTTTATATTTCTACAAAATATAACAACTTGGCATGGTATAGATTTTTGAGGATGTTAAATCAGCCTGCAGAATATCCAGTACACCCGAACTTTTATGAAGTCGAAAACCCTAATGGAACATATGAAAATGTTTTCGACTCAGATGCTATTATAGTTCATGCTTCATTTTCTGGTGCACAAAACTCTTTTTTATGCTTGGCAAATGACTTTTACGAAAAACCTACAAAGCTATATGAACCACCGAGTGGAAGTATTTCGGATTTTCAAGTATGGTTTACTACAGATGGAAGAAAGAGAATAATTCCATTATACCACGCGTTTTACTTAGAACTTAGTTTCATATACAACTACTATCGAACGGTAAAAATATGATTTTTTAATACGGTTGAGGTGTTGGATTTGGTTGCCAACTAGACTGTGGTGCAGGTTCAGGCTGTTGTATAACAGGAGCTTGTTCTTCTGGTTCAGGGTCTTTAGGTATAATACCAACGAACTGACATACTCTTTTGCCAATATTTTTGACTCCGTTCCATACTCCCCTTCCTACGGTTTTTATTCCATTCCATATACCTCTTCCAACATTTCGAAAGAAGTTTCCAATACTACTGAAGAAACCCATTTTACTATATGTAAAATCTAATGTCCACCTAGTCTCTTACGTTTCCTTCTGAGTTCCATAGCATTCTTTAACTGGAGCTCATACATTCTATTTCTCCTCTGGTAGAAAACATACTCTGGGTCAACTCCTGTGTTCGCGTCATCTGCATAGAGTTGTTTATATCCCACTTCGGGGTTTGTATAAAACTCTTTCCATCTCATATTTGCATACCATGGTAAGCCTAACGCAGCGTCATTTGACATGGCAGTTTGCATTTGTACATCTGTTGGCACTTGACCATAGTTTGCCATTGCAGTTTGTATTCTAACTTCATTTGGAATATTCTCTGGGTTTGGTTGTCCAGGTTGCTGTGCATTCGCTAAGTTCTGTGCGTCCATTTAATATTAGATAAAAATATCTCTTACGAGTACATATGCTGAACATTTGCTGGTATTGGTTCATCTTCATATTCTCTATATCTTTCTGCCACGTCAAATAAGTAAATGACACAATGGAAAAAACCTAAAACAAGTAGTCCTATTTCAAACCACATTTACTTACCAATAAAATTTCTTTGTTATGACACTTTCTCCGGTTTATAGGACCTCTCTCATATTCTATCTTGTCATATCTAAACTCATAGTCATGTATGTCCTCTAACCATCTCATAACGGTTTCCAAACCACTTTTATCGGATGTAAAGTAAAAGCATGGACAGTTATGTAAAACGTCTAAAGTTTCTAAAGAGTCTCTCAAAGTCCAGTCTACTTGGTATTGAAAATCCCATGTGTTATAGAACGGCGGGTCCACTATAAAGAAAACATTTTCCTTGTCTTTATATTTTTCATACAACTCTGTCCAATGACATCTCACAAACTCTATACCCTCAATATATTTTTCTATGTCCTCTTTGAAAACATTTGTATAGTTAAGATATAAAACTTTTGACATAAGTGTTTCAATGTCATGAACTCTTATAGCACCACTATATAATAGTCTAGCAGATATACTATCCCAGTCAATATACTCTGCCTTTTTCAAAACCTCTCTGACAGTATTTTTCTTATCTAATGGTATACGTTCCATCTTACCTATAGGTATCTTTTCTTTCAACTCACTCAATATTTTATTTGTGTCTGGTATATGTTTGAGACGGTTCATATAGTTGTCGAAGTCATTGCATATAATCTTTGAGTCAGGAAATATTGTATGGCACAAATGAGATATATAGAAACTTCCACCGAACAAGTCTACAAATGTTAGACCATTCGGTAGTTTCTTAAGTTCTCTCAATAGAATATCTTTACATCTACTCTTATTTCCAAAGAAGGGTAACGGTGGTTTTGTGAAATTCATTTTATATTTAATAAAAATGTTTTTTTCCTGAAAAGTGACAGAAAAGTGACGGGGGGCTAGAGGGCACGAAGTGCCTGGAAGCCCCACTACCTTTTTTTTTTTTTTTTTTTTTATGTGACAAAATTTTTTATTTTCAATTGACGAAGTTTTGATTATACTCATCCTGCAAATTTTTGATATCATTTATCTCATTTTTATTACAAGGTAATAATTGACGAACATAAAAATGGTTTATCGGTTAGCAAAGAAATGCAATGCTTTTTGAGAATCGGCCAATCTCACTTCAATAACATCGCAGTGTACATCTATCGATGTGTAATATTTATTCCGGTGTAAAACCAGTATAGCAAATTTCATCTTCAAAAATTAATATTGGCAAAGCCGGATCATACTCTCTATTTTGAAATTTGAGTGTATATATGTTATAAAATAGAAATATATGAAATTCCTTGAATAATAATTTTACGATCAAAAATTATGATATTAATATTGTCCAAGTATGTATTAATGTTAATTGACTATTCAAGTTTTAAAAATACTAATAGATTTATTCTCACTTGATAAAATATAATAGATTAATTTTTCTTTTGCATTAAGAAACGTCTTGTTAACCAATTCCTTACAGGAATATCATATATCTTCCATGTGAAATATGCATTAGCAAAGCAATATACTAGAACTCCTAAATTAAGTGCGAGATGATTATTCAATGGTGCTTTTCTATGAGTCCAAACCCATCCCATCTGCATATACATTACAGGATAATGAGTGATATATAATGGATAAGAGAAATCTCCCAAGAAAGTGCAGATTTTGCTTATCATTCCTTCATGATTATTTTGAGAACTTCCAACACCTAACATAATAATTATTGGGAAGAAGATCAAGATAGTTATTGCACTATAGACGCCATCAGCAATATTATTTGTTTTACCAAGATATGGTATGCAGAATAAGACAGTTAACATCAAACTGCACACAACAAAACCATGCTTAACTTTCAATTTCAATCCAGTTCTATAAAGCACTAATCCGCAAATGAATGGATAGAGCAATCTTGCCATTGCAATATAGATCTGCTCTCCTGTTATCATCCAGCCACCAATGACTGTGTACTTTGCTTCATTCCTGTCATCAGTGAGTGCTTTGAAAACGTTCAAATTCAAAGTAATATCTAAAATAAAGAAAGCAGATGGAACTAATAATGCCATCAAAGCCCATTTCGGAAGGAATCTAAAGAAGAAAGCATAGATAATATTTGCTAAGTACTCATAGGTCAATGACCAGCATGGGCCATCAAACGGATTTGTTTCTCCCCAGCCGCGCAAATCCAATGAAACTGGGCACGGAATCATAAATAAACACATCAAAAACGCCAACCAAAATTTCCATGCAGGGGTTGTTCCTATCATTGGGAAACCATCATTGCCGAAGAAAATGAGGCAAAATCCAATGCATGTTCCCATAATAACCATGGGATGAAGTCTAACTAATCTTCTCTTGAAGAATCCCCAAATTGTCATCCTATCCCAGCGGTCGTCATATGCATAGCCAATAACGAACCCTGATAATATATAGAAGAAATCAACTGCCAGATATCCATGATTGATGATCTGATCTACTGGACTTGTATTATAAGTCTCTAGTGTGTGGAATAAAACCACAAGAATAGCTGCAACTCCTCTGAGGCCATCTAATATCTCATATCTAGGTTTGGATGCTAAGTATGTAGTTCCATTCAATGGAGTTGGATCAACACTCATTTTATCCGACCAAACTGTTTTGATTGAAAATTATTTCTGACATATTCAAAGTGAACGAAAACATGCTTATATCATTTGGAATACACATGGTACTCATAGAAACTTCATTTAAAATGGAATTTTACTTAAACTCCTACTGTGGGGATATGAAATGATCAACAAAATGTACCTGATTGATACTATTAGGATGAATGCATAAATTATCTATCTAATAATATGATTTAATGGTATTTATATAATAAAATTAGCTAGAAATTGCAAATTTTAGTGAAATTAAATTTACGTTAATACTTATTTTCTTAGATAGTTTATCAGAAAAGTATCATCAATGGGTATTTGATTTTTAATTAAGATTCATGCAGATGATCAATTGTAAAATATCAAGATATTTGCTAATGATGAAAATAAGAAAAAAGATATCATGATTTAGTAATAATAGCTTTATAAAGTAATATTGAATGCCTCAATCTTCTTCATTTCTTCATATGCGGTGGCATCAATCTTTTGAGGTGTAATGCTAACATAACCATGGCCAATAGCCCATTTGTCTGTATCTTCGGCATCTGGTTCGTAATTAACGAAATGTCCTGTTGCCCAATAATATTTGTATCCTAATGGATGAGTTCTTTCTTCATATTCACGATCCCAAACACCCCTTCCTTGTCTGCAGACTTTGATGCCTTTGTACTCATTAGTGTTAGGGAAGTTAACATTTAAACAAGTTCCTTCTGATAAGCCTTCTTCTAAAACTTTTTGCGCAATTTTGCGAATTATCGGAACAGTTGCTGAAAAATCTGCGTTCCATGATGGATTGTCAAGTGAAAAGCCAATTGATGGGACACCTTTCATGCAACCCTCTAGAACAACACCCATTGTACCAGAATAATGAATGTTTATCGATACATTTTCACCATGATTAACACCACTAATGATTAATTTTGGTTTTCTTGGTACAACAGTTTCTAAACCTAACTTAATGCAGTCAACAGGCATGCCATTGCATTTGTAGATTGTGACATTATCTTCTTTTCTAACTAACTTTGTTGTTAATGGTACATGTCTTGTGATTGCTCCAGCAACTCCTGATCTTGGTCCATCAGGAGCTAAAACTCTTATATACGAAAAAAAGAGATCTGACATTGTGTCAGATCTCAGTAAAAGTGACATTTACATGTCAAAAAAATAGAATGAGTTTAAGTAATTAAAATTGAGGGTGAGAGTAGTATTGTATGAAATAATATCTCTCACCCTCAATTCATCCTATGGCGCCGAAAAAATTTTGGTGAAATGCGACACATTTCACCAAAATTTCTCGGCGCCATATAGAGAACTAGAGCTGTGAGTACTGATACTATCCATGTACCTCGCAGGCTCTAGTTCCAAGCCAAAATGGCTAAAAATTGCCCGCAAATTGTTCACATTGCGGGCAATTTTTAGCCATTTTGGCTGGGAATTGGAGGGTGAGAGTAGTATGTATGAAATAATATCTCTCACCCTCCAATTCATCCTATGGCGCCGAAAAAATTTTTGTGTGAAATGCGACCACATTTCACCAAAATTTCTCGGCGCCATATAGAGAACTAGAGCCTGTGAGGTACTGATACTATCCATGTACTCGCAGCTCTATTCCAAGCCAAAATGGCTAAAAATTGCCCGCAATTGTTCACATTGCGGCAATTTTTAGCCATTTTGGCTGGGAATTGGAGGTGAGAGTAGTATTGTATAAATAATATCTCTCACCCTCAATTCATCTATGGCGCCGAAAAAATTTTGGTGAAATGCGACCACATTTCACCAAAATTTCTCGGCGCCATATAGAGAACTAGAGCCTGTGAGGTACTGATACTATCCATGTACCTCGCAGGCTCTAGTTCCAAGCCAAAATGGCTAAAATTGCCCCGCAATTGTTCACATTGCGGGCAATTTTTAGCCATTTTGGCTGGAATTGGAGGGTGAGTAGTATGTATGAAATAATATCTCTCACCCTCCAATTCATCCTATGGCGCCGAAAAAATTTTGGTGAAATGCGACACATTTCACCAAAATTTCTCGGCGCCATATAGAGACTAGAGCCTGTGAGGTACTGATACTATCCATGTACCTCGCAGGCTCTAGTTCCAAGCCAAAATGGCTAAAATTGCCCGCAATTGTTCACATTGCGGGCAATTTTTAGCCATTTTGGCTGGGAATTGGAGGGTGAGAGTAGTATTGTATGAAATAATATCTCTCACCCTCCAATTCATCCTATGGCGCCGAAAAAATTTTGGTGAAATGCGACCAACATTTCACCAAAATTTCTCGGCGCCATATAGAGAACTAGAGCCTGTGAGGTACTGATACTATCCATGTACCTCGCAGGCTCTAGTTCCAAGCCAAAATGGCTAAAAATTGCCCGCAATTGTTCACATTCCCATCTTTTGTTGGTAAGACGAAGAATATGAAATAAATTATGAAGAAGATAATGATGAATAAAATATCACTTTTTATATTTTTGACACGTAAAGTTGTCACTTTTCTGTCAAACCGTTTTTATCGTTTTCGTATATAACAAAACAACGATTTCTCCTAATGGTTTGACAGCTTCAATTACTGCTGCAAGGCCTTTTGCATCGTATCCATCATCATTAGATAGGAGAATGACTGGTTTCTCTGCAGACATGAAGGAATATGATTATGTTCGCTTTCAAATTGAGTGGGGGACAAACTCGCCCATTGTCACTTTTTCATTAACCTTAAACTTGTAATTTTCATTATTTTTAATTAACCTTATTTCTTTCCCAATTCCTGATTTATTTTATTCACTTACTATTAAAAGTCACATTTTAATAAAATATAATAATTTATTTATAGCATTTTTTACTATACTGTAATAAAAAATTAATTATAATAAATTAAATGTTTATTAAATCAAATGTTTTCTTTGCAATAATATTTTTAATGTTGAGTAAACAATGTTGGGATCAAGTGTATCATTTTTCAGACCTTTCTGAACAGCTTCAAGCATACTGATGCATTCGACTTTTTTAAATTGTGTCATTTCTTCGAAATCTCTTGTGACTTTTTTGATAACTTTAACACTTCTCTCTGAATCCAGACCTTTAATTTGCAACTTAATCAGGAATGAAGGAACAACACTGGAATATAACTCGATGACAAGTTCATCGAGTCGAAGATTTGGTTGTACACCACTTGTATGTGCCGGATACCATTGTGTCAAATTTTTTCTGAAATTAACTTTAAAAGTACTAAGTAAGATCATGAGATATAGCAATATATGTTTAAACCAACTTATATTTTGGTTGTACACCACTTGTATGTGCCGGATACCATTGTGTCAAATTTTTTCTGAAATTAACTTTAAAAGTACTAAGTAAGATCATGAGATATAGCAATATATGTTTAAACCAACTTATATTTTGGTTGTACACCACTTGTATGTGCCGGATACCATTGTGTCAAATTTTTTCTGAAATTAACTTTAAAAGTACTAAGTAAGATCATGAGATATAGCAATATATGTTTAAACCAACTTATATTTTGGTTGTACACCACTTGTATGTGCCGGATACCATTGTGTCAAATTTTTTCTGAAATTAACTTAAAAGTACTAAGTAAGATCATGAGATATAGCAATATATGTTTAAACCAACTTATATTTTTGGTTGTACACCACTTGTATGTGCCGGATACCATTGTGTCAAATTTTTTTCTGAAATTAACTTTAAAAGTACTAAGTAAGATCATGAGATATAGCAATATATGTTTAAACCAACTTATATTTTGGTTGTACACCACTTGTATGTGCCGGATACCATTGTGTCAAATTTTTTCTGAAATTAACTTTAAAAGTACTAAGTAAGATCATTTATTTTTGCATAATATAATGCCAATATGGTTTCTTTTGATTTTATTTCATTTATAAGCAAATCAGATTTACCCAAAAACTCCACTCCATAAGCGTTCATTTGCTAAATTAAAAAGTGACAATGGGCTAGTCTGTCCCTTTCTCCTTTCAAATTTGACAGAAAAGTCAATTCTATCAAAAGTCATGAATTTATAAATCAAAAAATGCATTTGTTAGTATCAGTATAATACAATATTATATAAATCCTAATTGAATTACTTTTTAAAATTTCTGAGAAATGTGTTCGATTTGATTGAAAGCTTTCGATGAATGATAATGGCTGACTGAGAATTTAGAACAGAGATACTTAGATGGATAACTATTCATGCCAATTGCCAATTTTTTTCTCAAACTGAGATTGACTTTCCGTTTACATTAATGATGATTCCTGAAGCGGTATATGCTGTTTCTACTAAAATTGAACAAAAGACAATCTTTATGGTATCTGTTTTAAGTGATCAAATGTTCTCTTGAAAAATGTTGGCATGTTTCCTTTCATCAATTCCAAAGCGATATTATACTGTTCATATCATGAGAGTTATGTGTAGGAATGATGGTATAACACTGAATTGAAAGATCAATTCTTATCATCATGAATTGAATTATGATTCATTAGTATTTTGTTCAAATTGTATATGTGTTGTTATTAGAAGAAATTTTGCAAAGTAAAATAGGAAATACGAATTCAAAATCAGCCAAATTGCAAAATTCATGTTAAATTGATAGGATGATATGCCTTAAAATGTCCAAATATTGTCAATGCTTTATGAAAACCTAATACCTATTTGTTTGGAAATCAAAATAAAAAACGGCAATTTTTTTTTCAAATGAAAGTTGATCTTCGCATTGAAGAGCAGCTTGATGAACTTTTTTCACAGATGGGTCTTACAGAGGAGCAAGTAAATGAGCAGTATAAGCTTCTCATGGAAAAAATAGAAGGTTTATGTTGTGATTTTCTCAATCAAACTTATCAAAAAGTATGTGATTTTAAAAACGAAGCAGAAGGAATAGAAAAGCAAATAAGAGAACTTGAAGAGTTTTCTGGTGTTCAATCAGGTTATAAAATGAATCCTTCAGCTTCATTAAATGAAAGAATCGATTCTGCAAAGGTTTATTTAAACGATTTAACAGAAATTACTGCCACACAAAAGAACGAGTTCGAGCAATTGTATGTCAAACTCAATACATGCTTTAACAAATTAGAAATTACTGAACGAGGCGAATTCGCTGAAAAGGGAGATATATTCAGATCTGATAAAATCGAACTAATTAGCAATAAAATCAATGAACTCGACAGCATAATTTCCGAAAATGAAGAAATTGTCAATAATCTTTCGAAGAAACTGACTGAACTTCATAATTTACTTGGATTAGAGCAATTTGTCAAGCCAGAAACGTGTGGTGATCCTACAATTGAATCTCTTCAGGACGAATTACAAGAATTAACCGATCAATACAATAATAACTACGAAGACTCACAAGCAACGATCAAAGAAATACGTCGATTAGAAAGACTTCTTGGCAAGCGTGTTAGTAGCCAGAGGATTACAGTTTTCAGTGATGCTGCAGTTTCAGATTTACATAAAAGATTGGATGATTTGAATGAAGAGAAAGAACAGAATCTCGGACAAGTTGTTGAATCGCTTAAAAATGAATTATTACGTCTTTGGGGAGAGCTTAATATGGAAACTCCAAGTAAATCTTCTTTCCCATTCTTTTATGCATCATCTCCGAACAAGCGTACTCTCATTGCACTTGAAAGCGAAGTTTTGCGTCTTGAGAACCTCAAAGAGAGCATTCAGCCACTTCTTGCCCTTATTGCTCAAAGAGATGATATTATTAACAGTTACAATGACCAATCTGCAATTGCAAATGATCCAGGAAGACTCACATCAAGAAGAGGTGGTGTTGCAAGCAGTTTAATGCAAGAAGAAAGAGTTAGACGTAGATATGCAAATGAATTACCTAAAATCCACGAACAGATGGTCGGAATGCTTGAAGATTATGAAGAAACTTATGGAGAACCATTTATGTGGAATGGAGTTAATCTTTTGGAAGAAATTAGAGAAATGCAAGAAAAGGAGCCTGCTTCTCAGAAGATGAAGCGACAGACTATCTCTAATAAGACAAAGACAAGACAGATTCCTCTTAATCAGCGCGCGCCATTTATTCTTCCTGGATATATGAATTGAAATATGTTGTTTTTATTTTTTAATAAATATCTTTCATACATACAAAACAATGTAAATTAGCTTCTTTTTGAAATATCGCTAAATTGACATATTTTCTATATATGAGATTTCAATATTATGTGATAATTTGATTAATGTAACTAGAAAACGAAATACTTGGCCATGTGATTGATATATTTCATATAAAAATGCATTTAAGTCATTCAAAAAAAATCCTAAAAATTTTGAATTTTGAATAAATATATCTAATTATATAAGTTTTTCATTGGATATTCTTAATTTCAAATTTGCAATATTTCACAATAATACTTAGAAATTTTATTTTCATGCCGCTTGTTTCATAAACACTTGCATTAAAGAAAAATATTTATATTTTTGAATCAATCTGCAATAAATAATTGCATTATCATTAATATAACTACAGTATAGTAATGTGAACACGAATGAAAAGACAAATATAAACAAAACGTGTCTGAGACTCAAAGAGATTTTACTAAAGAACAAAGACGTTAAATTTTTTGGAAATGGGAGAAAACGTCGAAGAACTCAAAGCAAAACTATTACAGCTAAGACAAGAGAACAGAGCAATTAATATGCAAAACATATTGTTGCAAAATCAACTAAATGAAACAACAGAAGCAATGAATTCGCTGCTTAAAACAAAATCTCATGAAGAAAGAGGATTCGATGTTTTAAGAAAAAACCTAGAGAAAGAATTAGAAACAGAAGGTAACCAGCAAACTAAAATAAGAATGGAAAGAAGAAAAATGATTATGCTTGAAATCCACAAATATACAGAAGAGAATAGAGTTTTAACTACAGAAATAAAAGATCTTAAAGCAGAAGTTGAACATGCAAAATTACTTCATAAATCATATACCGCCAAAAATAATGCAAAAACTACAAAAAAGAAATCAAAAGGACCATCACCAGATAAAGGAAAAGCAACTGTTAACGTTACAATCGCTCCAAAGAAGAATTAATATTCGAATATTTTATTTTGTTTGTTTTATTGTTTACTATCATAAAGATCGATATCATTTACATATTGTGTTAGTTTTAGAAATAGAAATTAAGAGTTTTTTAAAAATATTTTGATAAAATTTTGAATTTTTATGAAAAAAAGAAAATTAAATGATACAAATCTTTATAAATAGCTTTATTATAATTATGCAAAAACAAGACCAAGTCCAAAGTTATAATGCTTTCTGAATATATCAGCTTGTGAAGTTAGAGTCATCTGGTAGCCCTTTCCGAATCTTCTCTGGAGGGAAGAAGAGATTGTAGCATCACTTGTAACGTTAAATGCAAAGACGGTCATGGCAAAGTTGCGATTGATGAAAAATGCAGATTTGGCACGAAGTTCTGATGGAAGGATATCAAGTTGTATGCCACCAGTTGTATCCTCGTTCGGACTGTATGTTATCGATTTGTTAATACGTAATTTTGGTTCAAGAGAGAGGAAAATTCCATCATTGAACTTTCCGAAGTCTGTTGCGCAGCCTGCTCTGAAAACATAGCCTGCACTGAAAAGAGGCTTTTGAATTATAGCGCCAAACAATGTTTTCTTGTACATTGTTGAAAAATTAGCGATAATGTTACCTTGTGTGAAGTAATTTGAAGCAGAGAATGCAAATTCTGAGGCTACCTTTGGTCCTCTATACTTTAAGTAGCCTGTAATTCCAGGATTTAACGTGCAATCAACATATAAAGATGTTTTGCTGTATTGTGAAAGAGGAACTGTAAGTTGAACGTTAGGTGAGCCAAAGAGTGGTAATGCAACACGATATTCCATATCACTAACTGTTCCAACGAAAACAGCACTATAATTTCCTGGAATTACTTTTTCTCCAGCTTGAGCAGCAAGCTCAACAGGATGGATTCTTGGAGAAATAGAAATTGTTTGAACGATACTGTGCGATGGTTGAGGTTGATAAACATGAGTGAATTCAAAGCCATTTATTAAGTTTAAAGAGGCAACATCAGTGACTTTGCCAAGAAGTGTATCAAAATCACCGACTAATTCTGGAGCTTTCTGCTCAGGAGTACTTTGTAATGCTCCCATTTTTTTTAGAATTTTTTTTTTGAGAGAAAGGATCGGCCAACTTCAGAGATTGCTCTTGATATTTAAGATAGATGAACATTGTCAATCAAATTAAAATACTATACTATACAACTTAATAATGACGATATTCTCCAGCATAAATTTCAAACATTTGATTCCAAATTTTATATATATATAGTGTTTAAGTGGGGAACTTTGATATTTTTTTCCACACCATAGTAGTTTCACTTTTTGCATATGAACTCTATATTGATTCTGGCTAGAAACTAGAGAAATTAAAAATTTTCAATTTTTGGCCCATTAAAAATACCTTTTTGAAAATAAAAAATATTATTATTAATTGTATGTGATGCTTGACATATATTCATAAAATCATGTGATTTGGAGTGATTGGCAAAAAAATCTTGTCTAATTAAGTTTAACAGATACTTATATTTTGTCAACATCATAAACACATGAAAATATAATGAGTAATCTTGTATAACATCATAAATCCATGATATTTGTTTTTATATTTTTGCATTTGATCTTTTTTACTCAATATCGATGTTGATATAATAATAAAATGTGCAAAAAGTTATTGAATGAGATAAACATTGAATAATTTTTGCAATCACGATAATGAATTTTTATTCATTTCAAAAGAATTAAGAATTGAATGAATGTCAATCAAATATATTAAAAACAAACCATTTTACTAAATATATGAACATGTTTTTACAAAACAAAACAAAATCAATTTTTATGAGCTAGGAATTAAAAATTCTGATGACTTTTTCCTGCATTCTAATTCTATATAGAACCTAAGCATTTGAGTAGAAGCCATTGCATCGATGAATTTCCTTGAAGTTACTGGAAAATTCTTCATAAAGAGTTCGTAAACGAATCTTGAGCCAGGATTATTTTTATCTGTATAGTCAGTCATAATTGATACCTTTACAGGGAATATCAGCTCTTTAATCGTCATACTTGTCAAATTAATAATTTCCGGAATCTTTTTTTCGACAAACAAAGGTTTCAATCGCTTCTTTAGCTGTGATGCTGTTGGATACATCACAAGGTCCTTCGGAAAAGTGTATTCACACTTATCCAAGTTTAATACAACAGCATCTTTCGGAGATACAATCGGCCACATTGTTTCTCCTGCAATTAGAGGGGCAGGAGAGTCCAATATATCCATTAGATCAGCAGGTAACAACGAAATAGTCGTAGAAACCCAGTTTAATGGTAATAACATCGCATGCAAAGCGTAAATCGAATTTGCAACAACAGATCTACTAGAACTATATACAATTATTGTTCTTTCAGCTAAAAGAGCTGAAAGCAAACTGATATATTCCATTGGTTCGAATTTTTCAACTAATTTTTCAAGACAATTCTTGAAAAATAATAAATCTCCCTTCAATCCGGAATCTCTTTGCCACTCGAAGTTCGGGAATGGTGGATAGTCTATAATAAACTTGTCTCCGATGTCAGGAAGCATAGAATAAATACAATTTGGTAAAACTGTTAAAATTCTTTGTCTGTGCATATCCGGCCATAATTTTGAAGCATCAGGGCCAAACATTTTTTCAACGTTTGTCATTGTAATTGAATTTAATTGGATAAAAAGTTCTAAAAATGGGGTTATCGACATTCTTCCGATTCTTTCGCTTTCTATTATCCATTTCATGAACTCGTAGAATACTGTAGCGTTTTTATATTGACTTTGAATGCAAATTGCCATTTCCGTTGAAGGCATTGAATGATTTTGAATCAAAGAAAAAAGATCTTCAATATTTAGATCGTGAGTAAACGAGGGCATGCTGAATGGATTACCCATGAACACACAACAATGGAAAAATGGGGCTGCTTCGATGGTTGGAAAATATAACGTAAAAAATTCGAGGTCATTAATATCCGGGAGTGTGATAATTTCTTTTATTAAATCACCTGTTGTATGAAATTGGAGTTTTTCGTGTCTACAACCGTTCGGAAAAATAAATTTTGAAACAGGGTCATCTAGCGAGTGATCAAATGGAATTGTGTAGAATAAATGAGGCGTAGATATATCTTTCCATGGACAAACACCAGTAAAGTACATTCTAGTCATTAAATTCGGATCTAATTTGAATTCTGAAGGAGAAACAAACGAATCGTTAGTAGGGCTTTTCGAGATCTTTGTGCCCTCAGTTTTTCTACGGAAGGCAGAAATAAGTCTTAAGCTGTTGAATTGTTCATTATCCATATTTATCACTAAAAAATGAATTCAAAATTGAATCAAAAAATTTTTGATTGTAATAAAATAAATCTTAAATCGTTGAGTTCAAATGCTATGTAAAAACCCCTTGAAGATCCCGATCCGAAATTTTTGTGAGGGATCATGAAATTTTTCAGAAGAGTGTAGTGCAATCTTACATTTGAATTTTGCCCTCAATATTATTTGCTGCCAATGAGAAGAGTGTCTTAGACGGAATTGTTATGTATGTTTGTATGTATAACTATTGTTTGTTGCGAAATAAAATTAAGTATAACTATGTGGTTTAGAAATTATGAAATACAGATGTTCAATCATTGTTTGTTGCGAAAAATGGTGCTGGATACATCACTGCATCAAGTTGTTAAGCGAATTCATATTCTAAATCTGCTTCGTCAGCTGCAGAACCAGCAGATGCAATCAAATTCAAAAATATTACAGAGTTATATGATACAACAATACCAGATATGAATTGTCGCATGCCAATAGTTTATAAACGTTAATATTTTGTGATTTTCCAATTAAATACAAAAGAATTACAAGGAAATAGAAAGAAAAATATAAATTAGTTCATTTATCGAAAATAATAATAATTTGTGGCAAAATTATTGTTTTCATTGTTTGGATATTCAAGGTTTTGTTCAATCTTGCAGATTATGCTTGCTAATCTATTAGTTGGCCGAACTACTGATTCGTATCTATAACATATTGAACAATAATAGAGTTCTAATTTCCATTCAATAATTTAATTGTAAACCATTCAATATTTTAATATACTCTGATGAGTTTCAAAGGACTTTATTCTACCACTACGAAACCAAACATCGCACCGAATTAGTGAAAAACATAAGAGAAACTTCCACTTAGATTACACATTTGAAGATGTTTACGGAACTAACCAATACCAAAATAAAAACAAAAATGAAACGATTACCAATGAAGGAAATTACTTCATTGATAATACTTTGTTTTCTTTCCTTCAGCAAAATGGTGTAATCCGATTAAAAACATCAAGTAGTAAAACATTAATTTCTTCCTGCTCGTTTTTTAAAAATAACGCCAATGCAGATGGTGGTAGTCTCTATATACTAAATGGTGAATGTGTCCAATCCAAAATTTGCTGCACTTTTTCATCAGCAAGTAATTTTGGAGGATTTTCGAGAGTTGAATCATCAGGAAGAAAATTTTTATTCGAATCTTCTATTTCAAGCTGCTCAGCTAGTCTTTGTTCATTTTATCATTTAAATGGAAATTCCCAAATCAATAACATAAATTCTTCATTTCATGATATTTGGTGTGGTGCAGGATATGCAATAGAAAGTCCATCAGTTGAATCAAATTTAAATTTCAGCACAGTAATAAACTGTAGTTCGTCATACCAAGGTGTTGTTTATAATGCACTTGGAGTTATCTCTATTAAAAGATGCAATTATATGATGAATAAAATGAAAGGAACTGATGGAGTTCTTTGTTGTGATTCAACAACATCATTCACTGAATGTTGTTTCATTAATAATACAGGAAATAAATTGTTTGATAACTTATCTCCAACTGTTACTAAATGTTATTTTGATAATAACGAAGTTTCAAATACAGGAAATGCAATTATTGTTTCAACAACGGGACCTTTTGATTTGCATTTGTCTCATTTTTCAACAGGAAATTGCGAGGCAACAAACATTTCAATAAAAGAACAAGAAGATGAAGATGACATTGGAGTGCATCCATAATACATCAAAGGAAAGATTGAGATGCTGAAAAATTCATCAATCATACAACTAGCGAACATAACAATGTCATGAATATATAAAATATTAATATTTGTTTATTTATTAGAGAAAGATTTGTATTCAGGCAAGTTGAATACAGAAGAGAGCGGGATGTTTGTTGAGTGGTGTTCGTGAATGTGTGTCTGCATCTTCATGAAAGAGTACGATGTGTGGAACTGCTTTGTTGCGTCATCAATCTCTCTGTCGAAAGAAGAGTCAACTTTAGACAAAGTCTGTGACAAAAGTGAGCAAACGCTGAAGAGGCTGACGAATCTCAGAGGGAGGACTTCATTGACGTCAGAGTCATGGGAAGAGTTTCTCCAGTACTCGCGAGCCAAGAAAGTAAGGTCGCCGCAGAGACAACGTTCTGGCTGTTGATGTAAGAGAAACTTGGGACTTGGTAGTCGTTCAGTTTCTGGTCAACAAACGACTCTTCACCGAAATCGAAAGCGACTTTGTTTGACTCGTCATTCTCTGTTTTCGCTGTCTCTGATGACATCGATTGTCTCAGGGCGGATCTGCTGAGATGTGAGTCCGATGACGTCGAAAACACTCACTCCTTGCTGTATCTGCTTTCTGATGACGTTGTACTGTGTCTGCGAATCTCTGATGAACTTCTTAGAGTCGATCAAAGTGTCCTTGTTCCTAATTTTATAATTTTGTAGCGTTTTTAGAAAAAATGCGAAGGGAGCGCCAGCGAGCGAGCATTTTTTCTAAAAACGCTACAAAATTATCATTTGGAATTCAGAGGTGAATCTAAGGAATTTTTGTAGTGTACGATTATTTTTATTGAAAAAAATTCATATAAAGAATACATAACAAAGATTACACATATCAGGTTTTTGGCGAATTTTTTTCAATGGAAAAATAATCGTATGTTACAAAATTCCAGATTCATTAATGATTCTAAATTTTGTTTTTGTGCAATTGTTATATATAACATAAGAAAACTACATTCATAGAATATATATAACCAAAGCTTAATAAATATTTCATTAACACTATTTCAGCCCCGAATTCTTTAACTTGATAAAAATAATATTTAACTATCAGAAAATCATGCAACAACAAAGGAGCAACCAAGAGTTGCAGCTCATGTAAGCAAGAATACCGTTAAATTATAGAATAATCAACTTAATAAGAATTCAAATTTGCCCAAAAAGAAGAATTCATGACTTCCATCAAAATATTCATGTATCACACCGTCCATTGATCACTTTTCGGATTAAAATGATTGGGACTCTTCACGCCAATAAAAATGAAAAACGGTTTCGTAAAGTGGGCTGGCCTTTCTTTACCTCGATGCCAAAGCAGGTTACAACACCAAAGGAATTCCTCGCTCTTGCCGCCCGCTCTGATGCCAAGTGGGTCAAGGTTAAAAAGTCAAGTGATGAGAACACAAAGTTCAAACTTCGCACAACAAAGTATCTTTATACACTTACAGTTAAGCCAAAGTTTGTCGAACTTGTTCAGAACTCTATCCCAGAGTCCCTTGAAGTTATCGTCCTTGACAAGAAGGCTGAATAAAACTTTATTTTGCTTAGAATAATAAATCGAAAATAATCAAACAAAATTTCATCAAAGGAATTCAATATAATGCTTTACGGATAGGATGCTTTTAATATCGCTATCTTCCAAACCTAATTTTTTAATACTATTTTTTGATATTTTTTTCTCCTTTGATTTAGAAATGATTCATTACTTTTTTGTTATTTTATTCTATATTTTCATACTCTTCATGATATCTTAATTCTGGATTTTTGCTTGCATATAATTTTTTAAATTTATTACAGGCATTGATCCAAATATATATATTACAATGAAGTACTACCATACAAAGTTGCCGTTAACTGCTTGATTTGCCATTTCTTTTGAAACCAGCAACTTTATTTTGCGATGATATAGCAAGGAAACTCAGGACTCAAAAAATTAATGATTATATTAGGAATTGTAAAAATACAGAAGTTCTAAATTTCAAGTACCAAAACAAATTACCACTTGAATCAACATTTGCAATTCAAGATGAATGGTTTATTAACAAAATCAACGAAATTTGCACGGCTATAGATGCTAAAGAAAGTGAGAGTACCGTAATCCACTTGAATGAACTCATATCTCAGATTGATCAACTAACAGTTTTCAAAGAAGACTTTATTAACTATATAATCGAGAACGATGTACTAACCAGACTCCAAGAATGCCTTGTAATCGATATTCCAGAATTACTTTCATCGGCAATTAATTTTTACCAGGCTGTAACGCGATTCTCAACAAAAATAACAGAACTCATATTCCAAAAAGGGATATTCGAAAATCTCCTTTCGATTTTTACATCACAAAAATTAAATTTTGATCAATATTCAACTTTCTTGCATATATTTTCAAATATTTGCTATGATGTACCAGAAGCAAGAGTTTATTTATGCGATAATGACATTTTGAATCATCTTTGTTCCACACTTATGGAAATTGAAGATGATTCTATCATAGAATCAATTTTACTACTATTAAATGCCTTGTTTATGGAAGAAGTGATCACTTCAAACACATCGATCGCATCAATGATTATAGATCATCTCAAATCAATTGCAATCAGATTTAATGATCCAGATGCAGGAGATCCAATATCTAGAGAAGAAATATTACATCTTATATTAAATCTAATCATCCAAATATCCGAATTTGATTCAAATTTTGATCATTTACTTGAATCAAATATTTTTTCTATTATTTTTGCAATTTTCCCTTCGTTATTTGGACGAAACGTAGATTGCTTTTTAGATATTCTTATGCAGATGGTTAGAAAAGATACAAATCATGTTTTTATAGATTTAATGTTGAATGAATTAGATTTCAACGCTTTGCTTAAGACAGGATCGAATACGGTGTTCCTCATCATAAACGAAATGCTTTCTGCTGATCAAAGTTTGTCTTCTTTCTTTTTAAGTTTAGATTTAATTCCTCTTTTGACAAATTCGTTAGATGAGGGAAATTTCTTTGAAAAAATCACGTCAGCACAAACTTTGACCACTCTAATTCAATCATGTGATGACAATTCTCTGGAAAAATTTTCAAATAACCCAGAAATGGTTGAAAACATTTTAGATTTGTGCACTACTGAGATTCCTAGCGAAAACATTGTTCATATAGCAGAAGCACTTTATAGAATTAGAAATGCAGAGCAAGATAATGAAGAAATACAAGATTTGTTTTCTACTTACGATTTTGACTCAATTATCGAAAAATATAGCGAAGATCCGTGAATTTCTTTTGTTTTGCATAATATATTTGAATAAATTTTGTTTTTATATGAGATAAATTCTCTAAAATATTTTAACTACAAAAAATTTCTTCGCAATCGTTCATTTTACAATGATACCGATCATTTTATAGGTTTGGTGAACTAATATTTGCTCATCATTTGATATTGTCCTGATAATGTCCCAGAGAATAGCATATTCTATTGAACAGTTAGCTTTGATATTGTGTGCAAGATCAATCTTCAATCCTTTCACTATTGCATGAAGTAATCGATTAATTTCTCAATTCATAAAACAGTTTTATTAAAATTGTTATTCTTCCAATTATGTACTTATGCAATCAAAGCTATTGCCATATTCGAAATCCTTAAAATCCCTGATTTTTATTTTCAGTTTAATAACGAACAAAAATTTTCCAAACCAACATCAAGTATTTTTGAATAGGGGCAATTTGCATATTGGATATCAGCAAATTTCTTACTTTTCAGACGTAGTGCTCAATTTTTATTTGTCACTTTTCTCGTTTTTTCTAAATTTTATTATGAGTACTTTAAGTCCTCAAAAACCAGATCCATATGGCTATGATTTTGCTCCAATCGAACCAGAAATTGATGAAGATATGATGGACAATTGGTCATATTACCAGAAACTCTGTTATTCGCAAAATCCACCAGTTCCGGTTTTATCGGCTATGAAACCTCTATGTGATGGATCAGAATACTCAGCCAAATTCAAACACTACAAAATAGGCAAGCATATTGATATCATTCTCCAGGTTCTATTAAGGCTCAAAACAATAAGTGAATTAGATCTTTGCGATAATGGTTTAGGCGATACATGTATCGATCCATTAGCCGAATTAATTAAGAATTCTGATAATCTTTCGTCTCTCGATCTTTCTAATAATACTCATATCAGATCTAAAGCCATGTCTCAGATACTAGAGGGTTTATCAGAGAGCAAAGCACTTGAATCACTCAATATATCAAATACAGGTTGCATGCTTCTCGGAAAAGCCCTCGCAACTGTAGTTCAAAACTGTTATACTTTACAGAACATTTATTTATCAAACTGCGGTTTAGGAAATTCTGTAATCGACTTTGCCAAAGCTATACCAATGGGTCAAAAGCTTAGAATGCTTGATCTTTCTGCAAATAGATTACATACTGGCGGTAAAAAGCTAGCGTTGACACTTGGACAAAATATAGCGAAAAGTTCAACCATTTCTATTGTCAATTTATCAAAGAACGCCCTTACATCAGAACAAACGATTTCGTTATTACGCCCATTGTCAGATTCACCTCATCTTAAGACCTTAGATCTTTCAGGAAACTCAATTGGAGATGAAGCAGGTCGCGCCATTTCAAATTTCATTATGAAAGCTGCTCATTTGAAGCATCTTGATATTTCCGGAAATCCTGTTTTGAATGTTACAATCAACTACTCAAAACTTAAGTCCACCCAGGCAGACGATAAGGATAAGAACCAAGGCAATAAGAAAGACAAAAAGCCGAAAGATCCTGTTCCAGGAGCATTTTTAATCTTAAATGCTTGTGGAAAGAGTGGTTCTCTTAAGGATATCACGATGATTGGCCTTGTTACAAGAATGACAGACTGGAAGAATAGAGTTGACGCTGTTCAAGAACAAAATCAGAAACTCAAAGTTCTTTACACCTCAGAAATGTCCGCAGCTTATGACTTTAGACATGGAAACGAAGATCCCCTCCCAGAAGATCTCCCAGTTCAAGCAAGACCACAAACTGCTCAGCCAGCGAAAACAACAAGATAACTCTGCGGTTGATGATCTCATGTTCTATTATTTATTAAGTTCTTTGCTTGTTTTAAACATTTATTTCTTATTTTCGTTTTAAATTTTACAATAATAATCTGGGGATCTAATGAAAACTCCATGTATACATTATTTTAGTAAATAATTAAAGAGAAGTACTTTATATATGCATAGAATTGTTTCTGATTAATACAATGAATTTCAATTTTGTGATAATATACTATTTATCTATTAACTTGAAATAATCATTCTATTATCATATGAATAATAATACTACACGTTAAGGATTGGAAAAATATTACTAATTATTATATCTTTTTGATATTCAATTCATATCATGGATAGCTTATAAAAACATATGCACAATTTCACAGACAAAGCATAAAAATAATCCATATGATTTAATGGTTTATTTATCAATGAAGTAAAATCATAAAACAATTTGAACTGCAGTACTAAATCTACGACAAGATGGCAAATAGTACTAAATCTACGACAAGATGGCAAATACATGCTTTCTGCAAGACAGAAAGGACTATATCCAGGAAAATAATATTCAAAAGGATATTTCGTTCCAAAATTAACTGAAACAACGTCCCATACATTATTAGATTGGGTTTCACGCACAACAGGCGTAATTTTGCTATTATCTGGAAAATTAATTTTGATTGTTTCGAACATATTTCCTTTTACAATCACTAAGGTTTTATTTTCAATACATAGGCCAAGACCTACTGTCTCGTTGACAGGGAAGGAATATTTGAGAGGGAAAAATCTTAAAGTATTATTCAATGTCTCTCCAGTAAATTGTAATGAACTATCATAGCCACGAAAATTCATGTCACCTTGAGGATGCAAGAGCAATTGATTATTGCCAATTTTATAACCAATTGCGAATGATCTACTCCCAACATGTCCTGTTGCTTCAAAATATAGATTTCCTTTTCGTATTGGAGATAACCCAATTGAAAGTCCAGTACCTGAAGAAATATTTACTTGCTCATTTTGATCAATAGGATTCTCTAAATATGACAAAGAAACATCGCAATTTGTCATGTTAGTGAGAGTCATTATATATTCATAATACTAAAACTAACAAATGTGTTAATCAGTAATAAAAATGATTTGATGCTTTTTTTTTTCAAAAACGTCACTTTTTTAAAACGAACAAAAATCTGATTTTATATTCCCTAATGAACAAACTATAGACAAGAAGCCTGAATGATTCTGGTGAAAACAAAGTGAAACTGCTTATCACAAACATCATAAATATACAATACAACAATCTTTCAATAGAAGAGGCATTGAGAAACGTAATTCATTGAAATTAATAAAAATTGATATTGATTAGTTTTTCACATGACAAAAATGATGGAAATTATATGTTAAAGTTGATATATGTCATCACAAACATGATTTAGAGAGTAAATATATATGCATATATCATTTATTTTATTCAAATATGAAATTTTATCATAAAAATATAATAAAATGAATGATATTACAATTAAAATATGATAAAGAATATAATAATGATTAGTGTATGTATAACCTTTTGGAAAAATGTATGATATATTGTTAATTATTTTTGAAATTCTGAAAAAAATTATTTATATTATTTTGGCAATGTCATTCTATATACACGCATATGTATTTCAATGCTATTTTTCATTAAAACGGCCTCCAAAATAATTTAAAAATAGAAAATCCAAATGTAAGAGGTTAATCTGCCCTTTGAATTTTTTATATCCTCTCTGAACTTCAGAAAAATGAAGCTGTACTAGATTATTGTACTGATTAAAATTCCAGAATTTCTTATAAACGAGGTGAACTCATTTTACTTCACTAAGTGCATTGGCTATTTAATTTGAGTAGCGTGGGTAAATCGGTTGTATTGAATTCTTTCTTTCAATTTTGATATGAAGTTATCGGAATTGACAAAAAATAATTGCTGAAAAATAATGCGTATTCATATACAAGAATAAATGCCCTTAATTTTCCATTTCAATTCAAATATCGAACCCAAATCATGTGTGAATTCACATTCAAAATTTATTATAAAATTTCTGAGGAAAATTGCAAGTTCATTTTTCTAGAAAGTCTCAAGAAAGACCGTTCATCTACATCCACATGGCTACATCCCTTGATGGAAAGATCATTGGTAAATTCATGGAAACAGAAAATGCAATGGGAGTTTTAACAGATTATGTTTGGACAAATAACTTTTTCAAACCAGATGCTTTTATGTGCGGAACTAAAACTGTAACTGAAATGAATACTGAACAGCCAGTCCTCAATCCAGATGAGAAAGATGTTCCAGAGGGTGATTTTATTGCAAAAGGTGCAAAGGCTCCATTCCTCGTTGTTCCTGACTCAGCAGGCAAAGTCGGATGGAAGAACAATTATTTCGAAACACCATACATCCAGAAATCCGATGTTATTGAAATCCTTTCAGAAAAGGCATCCCCTCAATACAGAAATTACTTAAGAAGACTCAATATCTCTTACATCATCGCGGGCAAGGATCATGTTGATGTTGTACCAGCTGCTAAAGCTTTGAAGCAGAAATTCGGCATCAACACTCTTGGTGTTCTTGGTGGAGCTACAATTAACTGGTCATTTGTTCAAGCTGGTATTGTTGATGAATTATCAATCTGCTTAGTAGCTGCTGGTGATGGTGCAAACAAGTCATTAACATTGTTTGAGAAGGCTCCACAAATTGTTGAGAATTCGCCAGTTGAATTTGAGCTCAAGTCAATTGATAGACTCAGCAGAAACGGATTATGGCTCAAATACACACCAAAGGCTGCCAGAAATGAAGAGAGACCATATTCTGGTCAATTTGACTTAGGCAAAAAGAACGTTGATTACGCCAAGTTCTTCACAGGTACAAGTTATCTTAATCAACTTTCAAACCAAGGTGCTACAGTTCTAAATGTTACATTTGAACCAGGAAGCAGAAACGATTGGCACATTCACCACGGAGGAAATCAGATCTTACTTGTCACCGATGGCTTTGGTTGGTACCAGGAAGAAGGAAAGGAACCAAGGTTCTTAAGATCTGGTGATGTTGTTGAAATTCCACCAGAAGTCAAGCAATTGGAATGGCGCATCTAAAGAAACATGGTTCGCTCATATTTCCATCCAGCCACACGCCGAAAAATCATCAACAGAGTGGCTTGAACCGGTTTCTGATGAACTTTACAACAGTTTGGTTCCAAAATAATTTTTAATTATTCTCCAATAAACTAAATATATCTTACATTAATATTATTTCAAGATATAACCTATTTTAAATGGATCCCCAGGGAAACAAAACAATATCTTTAAAAATAATCAATTTCTGAATTAGGAAAAATGCCAAATGGCATTATTATACGAATATCTTCTGGATCAATTCCTCAATCCGTAATGATAATCCAATACCATAATTGCTGATCTATTCTGAGTCTTCTCATATGATTTTTAAAATTAACAAATACAAGTTCCGAGAGATCAACCTCTGGAAGAATGTAAAAAATACACATATGATACGATATGAATAATGAGCCTTAATTCAGCAAAATGCTAAAATCTGTATTATATAAGTTTTTTTCTTGAACATCGTATTATTCTAGAATTAATTAGTATCACTGTGTTATTTGATGTTCATGATCTTACTCAAAAATTATAAATTAAATCCGAAATCTCTGTGGTCATTGTTTTCCACAGCTATAGCATTGCATTTTTTCTCACAAGGAATTTTAAAGATATTTTTATTGTATAATGCAAATAAATGGCTATTAAATTTTTTTCATGTCTGATCAAGACATTCATCCAAATAAATATAGTGAATTACATAGTATCTACAAATGCTACATTGATTCATATATTATGTTGTATCAGCTGAAAACTGAAAAAGAAGAAGAATTAAACTCGATTTACAAAATGATCAAAACAGTATTGATTGATTCAATGAAATTTCTTCCACAGGATATAATAAAAGATATTTTGGATATCATTCCGTTTAATAATCGCTATACAAAGTCATATTTATCTCTTGCCAAACTCATATCTGATGAATATCATGTTAAAGAGGTCAAAAAAATTCCGACTATTTCCAACTACTTGTTCTATAAAGAATATGGAATTAAATTAGACAAATCTGATGATTTCAAAATAATTGAATCAGAAAATTTTGATATTTTTACAAAAAATACAATTTACAGAGCGATTATGTATAATGACAAAGAAAGTTTCATCTTTCTCATTGAAAGTGAAGGATTTAATGAAGATCAAACACTCAAAAGCGAGATGTATCCATTTCCTTATAAAAAAGCATATTCATTACTTGAATTATGTTGTTATTATGGAGCAGTTGATTGCTTCAAGTTATTAAGAACGAAATGTAACTTAAAAATAACTTATCAATGTCTATTTCTTTCGTTTTTAGGAAGAAATCCAGAAATCATGAATGAATGTTTGAAATATCAAGAACCAAATCCAATTTGTATGATGTGTGCAATTATTTCACATAACATTGATTTTGTTACCTTCTTGGTGAATGAGTACAAAATAATGATCGATTTAAATCAATGTATATTGTATAATAATCTTGAATCATTTTTAGTTTATTTCGATCAAACTAATGATATTAACCAATGCTTTCTTTATTCAATAAATTTTGACATTCCATCCCTTTGCGAATATTTCCTTTCACATGGTGCAAATATAAATTATCTTCGCTATGCAGCAGGCTGCAATAGCAAAGAAACTATCAAACTTCTTATTTCACATGGTTCAAATATCAATGAAAAAGATAAAGCTGGAAAAACTGCTCTACATTATGCAGCAGAAAGTAATAGTAAAGAATCAGCCGAAATTCTTATTTCATATGATACAAATATCAATGATAGAGATAAATATGGAAAACCGCTCTTCATGTTGCAGCACAAAATAATAGTAAAGAAACAGCCGAACTTCTTATTTCATATGGCGCAAATATCAATGAAAAAGATAATAATGGAGAAACCACTCTTCATATTGCAGCAAAATATAATTTTAAAGAAACAGCCGAACTTCTTATTTCATATGGCGCAAATATCAATGAAAAAGATAATAATGGAAAAACCGCTCTTCTTTATGCAACAGGAAAAAATTGGAAAGAAACTGTCGAACTTCTTATTTCACATGGTGCAAATATCAATGAAAAAGATAATTATGGAGAAATTGCTCTTCACATTGCAGCAGAAAGTAATAGTAAAGAATCAGCCGAAATTCTTATTTCATATGGTACAAATATCAATGATAGAGATAAATATGGGGAAACCGCTCTTCATGTTGCAGCACAAAATAATAGTAAAGAAACAGCCGAACTTCTTATTTCATATGGCGCAAATATAAATGAAAAAGGTAAAGATGGAAAAACCGCTCTTCATGTTGCAGCATTAAAAAAAGTAAAGAAACAGCCGAACTTCTTATTTCGCATGGTGCAAATATCAATGAAAAAGATAAAGATGGAAAAACTGCTCTTCATATTGCAGCATTAAATAAAAGTAAAGAAACAGCCGAACTTCTTATTTCGCATGGCGCAAATATCAACGAAAAAGATAATAATGGAAGAACCGCTCTTTATTATGCAACACAAAAAATATGAAAGAAACTGTTGAACTTCTTATTTCGCATGGTGCAAATATCAATGAAAAAGGTAAAGATGGAAAAACCGCTCTTCATGTTGCAGCATTAAAAAAAGTAAAGAAACAGCCGAACTTCTTATTTCGCATGGTGCAAATATCAATGAAAAAGATAAAGATGGAAAAACTGCTCTTCATATTGCAGCATTAAATAAAAGTAAAGAAACAGCCGAACTTCTTATTTCGCATGGCGCAAATATCAACGAAAAAGATAATAATGGAAAAACCGCTCTTTATTATGCAACACAAAAAATATGAAAGAAACTGTTGAACTTCTTATTTCGCATGGTGCAAATATCAATGAAAAAGATAAATATGGAAGAACCGCTCTTCACATTGCAGCATATTATAATAGTAAAGAATCAGCTGAACTTCTTATTTCGCATGGTGCAAATATCAATGAAAAAGATAATAATGGAAAAACCGCTCTTCATGTTGCAGCATTAAATAATATGAAAGAAACTGTTGAACTTCTTATTTCGCATGGTGCAAATATCAATGAAAAAGATAAATATGGAAGAACCGCTCTTCATTATGCAGCTTATAATTATAGTAAAGAAATGCATAAAATTTATATTTCACCTAATTCAAATATCAATGGAAAAGATAATAATGGAAAAACCGCTCTTCATGTTGCAGCATTAAATAATATGAAAGAAACTGTTGAACTTCTTATTTCGCATGGTGCAAATATCAATGAAAAAGATAAATATGGAAGAACCGCTCTTCATTATGCAGCTTATAATTATAGTAAAGAAATGCATAAAATTTATATTTCACCTAATTCAAATATCAATGGAAAAACCACTCTTCATTATGCAAAACTCAAGCTTGTTGCAAATATGAGTGATAAAGATCCATCTAGAAATCCGGATCATAATTTGGTACTAATTAAAAATAATATAGAAACAGTCGAACTTCTTATTTCACATGGTGCAAATATCAATGAAAAAGATAATAATGGAGAAACTGCTCTTCATTATGCAACAAAAAGTAATAATAAAGAAATTGCAGAGCTTCTTATTTCATATGGGGCTAATATCAATTAAAGACATTTCTGCATAAAATATCAAAATTAAATACAAATACAGTCCCGTGAAAAAGTACTCTTGGCCGATGGAAAGATATCTTGGCCGGACGATTATTTTTTGCTTATCCATACACTATGACTCATTGAAATTCACTTTGTACCAACTCTCTTATGATAGTTTAGACAGACTAGCACATACTGAGATAGTAGCATAAACATCAACTCTCATTTTTCAAAATAAATTTTTATATGAGAAATTTAATACGCTTGTTATTCAAATAAGTAGTAGTAATGAATTTATTATATGGTGATGCATGCTCAATCAATTCAAAAGGCTCATAAGGAAATTAAGAATCAAATTTGATTTCATTGCGAGATTTCAACCTATCATTGAAGCAATTCTTATTTAAAAGGAATAGGCTAACCATTTCTAGCAACATTGACATGGTAATCTACCATCAAGCATAGTGCGCGGCAAGATTCCCTCTCATATAAAAAAATTTTAAACGAGCACAATAATAGTAAACGAACACTTTTACCCAAAATTGAATGACAATTAAATAATCGTCCGGCCAAGAGAGCTTTGTAACGGGACTGCAACAATAGGTTGTTTTGCAAATAGACTTAAGTGTGGTTCCTTAACTCTCATTCAGAAATCTGTAGTTTATTTCCTAAACTGGGAGTCAAAAGGCGTACCTACTTTCAACCTTTTGAGAGAAGTCATACAATTAATTATATGAGTTCTCTCAAAAGTCAATTTCTGTCATATAATTAAGGTGCGCTTTTTGGACTGCACAAGTAATTCGCTCTAATTCGATATAACAACAAAGCATCATAAAACAGATATACATATAGGATGAACTGATACGATTTTTTCGGGTCTAACTTCAAAATTTAAGATTTCGAATTAATCAAGCTTCAAACCAGAAATTTAAGCATAAATAGAAGCTTCTATACTACACATTGCATGTACAGCTTATTTGAGCTCTAATATTTGATAATTTACTCTCACTCTCATGAAAACACTATTTTCATTAGAAACTTTTGATTCAGAAAGTTGTATAAGGTCACCAACAAAAAGTGCGGAAATTAAAAAACCGCAGTTTGAGTACTTTCTGAGAGTCTGTTCGTCAGAAAGTATACATTTGTAAACTTTCTGACACTAAAAAATTTTTGTCCTTTCAAAGTTTTTGACCATGTCAAAAAGTATACATTGGGGCTCTCATTTTTCTCTTAAGTAAAATAAGTATTTTTTAATCATTTTTCTCTAATTGTTCGATGTATCTAGATGCCGCTTCACTCAAGTTCTGGTTCTCTGATGCAGCCAAAATATCTTCAATGCTTTCACCGAGGAATTCGAACATTTCCTCACATAATTCGCATTCAACAATAGAATTAAGAATAGAAGCAGTTATTTCTGCATTTGATGGTTCACTGTTTGCAAACTGAGCAAGAATTTTCAATACATCTTGTGTTGATTCACCACAGTAGTAGATATATTTGCTGACTAAGAAAGCAGACATTTGTCTACACTTGTATGATCTACTTTCATTGAGAATAATTGTTTGGACAATGTTTATCATGAATTCAGAAATAATTTCTTCATCACCTATGTTTGATGAGTTGATCAGTGCCCAGACACCTGTTAGAACTGTATTGTCATTCATGTTCTTCGATGTTCCGATGTTGAAATCGGAAATTTTCATGGATTGGCCAATTCCAAGGATTCTGAAACATGAACTAACAGTTTTGGAACTACAGACTTCTAATGTATCCTTTGCTGACTTGATTATTCCATGCTCTTCGAGAAATGATGTCAAATTGTCAATAAATTTTGCAGATATTGACAAACAATCGACAATTACATCGAATTCAACATGGTTCTGCATCCAATCAAGTATGACTGAGAACAATTCTTCATTTAAACCAATTCTGAAGAGATTTCTTAAGAATTGATTTAATTCTTCCAAATTTTCGTAGTTTGTAAGGAACTGGATCAGTACTTCTGGGTTTATTGACTCTATTATGGCTTGTATCGCTTCTTTCTTCGTGACTAAGTTTGAAATTAAGATGATCAAACTTCTTTTGACTCCTGAATCAGTTTCTTCAATGGAAAGGAGAGTAACAATGAGGCTTTCCATGCTAACAGTGTTCATGAAGATGTTGTTGCAATGTATGAAAGCCTGAGTGAGAAACCAAAGCGAGTTTATAAGTAACCTCTTCGGAATGGATTGTGTAAGGAGTTCTGAGGCAGTATTGATGAAGAAGATCATAATGTCCTTATTAACATTGGTTGACTTGATCATATTCCCTATTTTATACATCAATGTCGCAACTTCGGAATAATCTGTTTCATCTAATGCATTTTTGCATGATTCGACCAGGCCAACACCTTGGGAAGCTAGTGTTGATGTAGTAAACTTGCTATGATAGTCACCAATGAAGAAAATGTCTTCATTTGCATAGGTTCTTGTTTGTGTTAACATTCAATGGAACTTTACAAAAACTGCTTAGCAAAGCATTCAATTTACTTCCCCGGGGAATTTCCCCTTCATCAATTACCGCATCAATTAGATAATGTATAATATTAGATGTTTAATAATAAATATGAATATATTTCGTCTTTGGAAAGAATATTCTTCGATTTGAAAAATGATTCATTGGATAGTTGCATTTTATTCTTGAATTCATGTAAACTTATGCTTGATTACTATACTATCAACACAATATTCCAATTAAAAATCCTGTTAAATCTAGTTATGGGATCCCATTGTTACCAATTTGTGTTATATTAGAATCAAGCACCTTCAGCTAGTTATGCCCTATTTAAATTATAATTTTTAGATGTTACATGAAGATTAGAGAAGATTGAATATCTTTCATTTTCAAATTGAAAAGGAAGCAATGTAACTATCTGTATTGAAGCATACACATTGAGATAAGAAGTAACTTCTTAAATCTAAACTCAAAAAGACAAATTGAAAATAAAATGAAAAATTCTGGATTATTAGGAACTTTCAGATGTGAATTTAAATCTAATATCATGATGAAAATTGATGAATATGGCAAATTGAGATTTCATCAGACCCGTAGAAAATCTGAGTGGCATTGGTTTGAACATCGTAAAAGGAAAATATAAACAATCATAACATAGCATGTTGAAGCATTGTGATATACTCCGAAAGCCGGAATATCTTTGAATTTGCAAAATTTTGATATTATCAAGAATATTCTCATAGTAACATCAGTCAAAAATGTTAGTCCTGACTAAAAACGTAAATGGCCTACTTTTAAGAGCTAAGTCAAGCAAATTTATATAAAATTTAAAATTGTCTCATCTAATCTTATCCAAAACATCTATTTTTGGATTTGCAATTCAATTACAGAAGACACGTATATTATTAACATGAATTGTAAGAGTTGTAATCCATACTACGATGATATCGACTTATTTCGGCTCAAAAGTCCGATTTAGGGCAAAAAATTCAAAATATTAGGATTCGCTTTGAGGATATAAATCTAGCTCGATCATCGGATAGCCAAGAGAGCGTAATTATTGGTTACACTTTTTCGAATTTTATTGAACTTAATTTTTGTTGATTATTAATGGCCTGCTACTTTCATGCATTTTCTTATTTTGTGAATTTGAATCAGCCTTTTGTTGACATTTATTTTATATGCATTCAAAATTTTGATTAATTCTATATCAGCACTTAGTCCTCGTTCAATGATTTTTTGTTGTTTTAACAGTTATTTTTGTCAGAATTTTCCATTATACTGCATGATAATTGACTTATACTCAATAATATTTCAGACGAATTAATTTGAAATCTCGGAAAAGGCCACTCAGATCATTCAATTTTGAATTCATTCAAAAAAATTTATTGTTGTTTCTGTTGTAAACAGAAATTCATCAAAAGTGACACCTCAGAAAAGCTAAAATATTGAATTTTTGGAACTTTTGATAGAGCACGTTTTTAAATATTAATTAAAGTAAATGTATATTTTGTAAAGATTCTTTTTAATAAAAAAATAAAATTTTGAAGAAGAACACAAAATCTTCTGAAAAATAATATCACATAAACGCATATTATTTTCTAATATATAACTATTTTATATAAAAATCAAATTCAATGATCTTAAAAGCGAAGGATAAACCTCAAAATTTACGAATATAATGAGTGGGAATATAATGCTTATCTATCATAAAACCATATGAAATATCAATTTTTGCTTTACGCCTAATTTTTGACGACAATTAGCAAAAAATGTTAAATGTTAACACTCAGTCCATTTGAATATGAAAAATAAAATTGACTTTGATTAAATGTTTTTATTTATCATGCAATTCTTCTTGCGACCAAAGATTTGAATAAAAGTTCAAAAAATAAGATAGCTTAAAAAATAATATACGGTAGTGTTTACTAATAGATGAATAGTATATAAATTCTATTAAAATGGATTTGATCCAAAAAAATATATAAAATTTGATCATAAATAAAATCGTTTTAAATTACTTCTTCATTTAAATTATAACAATTATTTTTGGTTTTATATTTTTTTGGATCAAATCCATTTTAATAGAATTTATATACTATTCATCTATTAGTAAACACTACCGTATATTATTTTTTAAGCTATCTTATTTTTTGAACTTTTATTCAAATCTTTGGTCGCAAGAAGAATTGCATGATAAATAAAAACATTTAATCAAAGTCAATTTTATTTTTCATATTCAAATGGACTGAGTGTTAACATTTAACATTTTTTGCTAATTGTCGTCAAAAATTAGGCGTAAAGCAAAAATTGATATTTCATATGGTTTTATGATAGATAAGCATTATATTCCCACTCATTATATTCGTAATTTTTGAGGTTTATCCTTCGCTTTTAAGATCATTGAATTTGATTTTTATATAAAATAGTTATATATTAGAAAATAATATGAGTTTATGTGATATTATTTTTCAGAAGATTTCATTCTATATGCCTATGAAAAGTACTCTCAAAACTAACTTTTTCCTAATTATAATTAAATCTAGAATATTGTATTATGCTTAGTATTATTTCATTTTTCTCATTCAATTTAGAATTTACAAATGTCAAAAAATTGAGAGCTGTCACTTTTGATGAATTTCTGTTTATTACATTTCAGACCATTTTTAAACATTATCTTATTGCGGGTAAATTCTTAGCGAAATTGTAAATTTATCAAATTCATTATTCTTTACATAAGAAGAATGAAAGCGAAAAATCCTTTCATAATTCTTCTTATTTGCACCATAGGCATTTTGAACATTATCACTTATGGATCAGAATTAGTAAAACTTAACAGCCAATACAAAATAGCCCTCTTAAACGCCCAAGATATTCAAGCATTTAATTACCCCAAAGAAACGACAATTGTTCAACTCGCGCAACACCTTACATGTGTATTTTATTATTACGCCCTCTATTCATTCCATAGATCGCAATTAAAATTCATACGAAATGACTATCAACTAGTATTATATATAATAGCATCGCGATGGCTCATTACATCGTTTCCTTTCTCACTTTGGCAGATATTTTATATTGATAGTCAGCACGGTTTCAATAAAAAACCATTAACTTTATTTTTATGCGAAGATCTTCTTTTGCAGTTAATTATCTTGATTGTTGGCATCTTCCTCGTCTACTTCTTCAATTTTGTTGCCAAAACGATAGCAAATATCAATGACGATACACTTGTTTTGAAACAGGATCAATCTGAAGACACATCATCATTTTTACAGTATACATCTTCATCAAACCAAATGGATGAAGAGACAAAACATAGAAAAACTTCTATCCACGAGATTTTTAATCTATATTTCATAATTGTTGGCTGTGCAGCCTTTCTGATATCATTTTTCATCCAATCTATATGGAAGAGAAGCGATGTCATACAGCCAAATGCAAAATTATCAAAAGCATTTTCAGAATTATTTTTTGTTCATAGATTACTATTCAATAACCCAATAGTTTACGCAGAATCATCCTTCAGTACGAAACTTGCTATTGGATTCCAAGGATTATTATCTCAAAATGTTGTAATCTCAGATAATTTAGTAAATTCCCTTAATAATGGCCAATTATGCTCTATTTTAGCTATATATCAATACAGAGCCAACAGCCAAGAGGGTGTACTTAAGCTGATTACTTACATTTTCGAGTTAATGTTTATTCCTGTAAGTGCTCATTATATTGTATCCAGGAACATCAAGAAAAACCTCAGACTTAAGAATATGTTACTTGCTGTCGTTCCTATTCTTGTTGTTCACATGTTTATTGTCGATTTCTTCTTCTCAAAGCTCAGATTAGTTCTTGGACAGAAAATGTTCTTGAATGGCGTCGAATTCGCTTCTGATTTGAATCTGCCAATTGCTGACGCTCTTGTTAGATTGTTTGTGTTGAATCACGACACAATCAACCATTCTTTCTTGTATTCTCTGTTCCAAATGGAAACTCCGACATTAGAGAACGCTCTGATTAATGTCGCCTGGGCTAAGACAAAGTTTATTGGATTATAATTATATATTTATATTTGTTTGTATTAAGAATCATATGATTTTTAAACCATTATATTAGTTTTTTTATAACTTTTTATTTTTGAGATAGAAAAACTTTAAAAACTAAGACAGACCGTTTTGTATTGGATGATTATTATGTTGATGAATATGTAATCGATGATCAATAAAAAAATTTGAAAAATCTTTTGATAAATTCATATTTGGCTATATGACATCGCTTCTCTTTCACATGTGTTGGACGAAAAATGATATCAGAGAGGCTTAATTACCTGTAATTATGAATTATTTTAGTTAAAAACTAAAAATTTTGTTCAACTATCATATAAGTAGCCACATCAATGTCATGTGATTGTATATAATAAGTTAAATATCCAGTCAAAAATTGAAAATATTTGCTTAAAAGAATAAGCCAAATTCTTATAACTAACATATGCAAGGTCATTACTACAATAACCGAAGAGATTACAGTCATAAAAATCCTTACTCTTTGCAGTATTCCGAGAAATTGAATACAATCACATGACTTTATCTCTATTTCCTGATATTCCAGAAAACTTATTATGTAATGTCTAGCTAGAAATTAAACACAATGAATTACATATAGTTCCGACCCATAATTTCAATGGATGAAATTGATTGAACTCTTACATGAAAGAATTTGGACTCTTAGACTTATATGATGCTAACTATCTTTGGGTTACAATAGTCAGCTGGTTTGACAATATAGGGAGTTCAATTGCTCAATTTATTTTTTCTGCAAAAGTGACAAGATTTTAAAAGCATGAATGTATTTACAGCATTTTCACTTGTTATTATAAATGACAATCTAACATATCGCTCGAGATCGTATGTTTGCAAGAGATGCGATAAAAATTTCAGCAAATTAGCCAGTTTTAACTATTATGAAACTCCAATTAACACTAAAGAACAAAATTGCAGTTTGTCTAGGAAAAATCTAAATGAAGATATAAAGCTCACACTAAATTTTCTAAATTACCTTAGATGGCTTTCAGGATTCAAAAATAAAATTTCATTTGACTATTCTTATCTTGATTCAATATGCAAATGCGCAATATATAATCACTTTAACGAATTAACGAATTACCCAGTCGGAGAAGGTCATGAATGTTACTCATACGAAGTACTTCAAGGTTGTCAATCTTCTCTTGTTCAAAAAGGTGTAACGAATACAGCATCTGCAATATTAAACAGTTACAGAAATGAAAATGATGAATATCTTGGTCAAAGAATGTGGTTACTTTATCATAAATTTGGTTACACGACTTTTTGTGGAGCAGGTAATGCAACAGCGTTCAAAGTTGTTGGTAATAAGGAAGTTGAAATAGAAAACCTTACATTCATTGTCTCTCCCCCACCAGGGCCTTGTCCAAAAGAATTCTTTTTGAATACGTGGTCTTTTATTGCACCTGGCTTATCAGGTCAGGCTGAGGTTGTTGTTTATGTTAATGGAACAAAAGTAAACATGAAATCAGAGCCTGAAGTTCTTGGTTGGAACTTCTTTACGTATAAATTTATTAAATTTGTACCAGACACAGTTTATGCGCCATCTACAACATACGAAGTCACAGTTATTGATGGTGAGACTCAATACGATTATTCAATTTTCACAACAGACTGTAATTCGGATATTAGTGATCAAGAGTTCAATGAACAAAAGTATTATGATTCAAGAATCAATGATTTGAAAAAGGACTTAAGTAATACTGGTATTCTTGTAGGTAGTTCTGCTGCATTCTTAGTTTTAGTAATCATCATCTTAATTGGAGTTCTAGTTTCTTTTGATAAGAAGAATTCAATAATTAATGCATATACAAAGCCACAAAACGAAAAACATCAAAATCAGCAGAGAATGAGAAGAAATTCCGATGAACGCCAAACAAATAATAACAAAGCAAAAGCTCCGAACAATCAGGGTGCTAGATCTCGTAATCAAACAGTGAAAGCCAAATAATATATTTATATCTTTTAATTTATATTAATTATTTTGTAATTATAGTAAATACTGTCCATGAGTATAAAGACCTTAGAATTTTTCTATTTTGTGAATAGTTTACCTTTAAACGTCTTGTACAAGCACAAATATTTTATGAAATTATGAAAACGATTAGGATTTATAATATTTGTAAGAATTAGCCTCTTCACTAAATGTATTTTTATATCCAAGGTAATTTATTACGATTGTGATGAAAGCAGCACAATTGTATTGAAAATCATACTGTGAGTTTCATATTAGGCCTGCGATTTCAAGGAGCTTAGTCTTTTGGCTAAGTTGATGGAAAATATCATATTAAATTCATACTTTATAGATTTCAATTCTCAAAATTTTTCAAATTTCATAAATTTTGTGTCTATTTATTATAAATGATGGAGAATCTCGAAACTTTAATGAACTACTTCAGTTCTTTTGATGAAATAGAAAACCAAAGTCAAGAAGAGTTCAATGACACCTGTGAAGTTTGCGAAAAAATTATTCCATCTAATTTTTCGAAATTATTAGCAACAACTATTGAGTCCGATGACGAGTCAGATATGATGGAGCAGTTTCTTCAGCATGCTTCATTGAAATTATTGCATCTAATTTCTCTTAATATCAACACATCAGATTCATTAATAATTTTATTCAGCAAAAATCAAAATGTATACTCGAAAGGCCAATTTTGCATCAAATTCTCTAGTGTTGTATCATTTTGCATGAGTAATGGTGCAGTTTCTTTGATAAATTCATTAGATTTTACTAAATTTGACAAAATCAGTAAGTTTGTTGCGATTAACTTGGTATTAAATGCCTTTTTAGAACATGAAATGACAGATGACTCTACCAAAGTCGAATTATTAGTTTTGACTACAAAATTTTCCAACATTTTTGTGAAGTACATTCAAAATTCTAAGAGTATTCTCACTAAATATCACACGCAGCAGCTTGTTTCCTTGTTATTTTCAGTTAATGAACCTCAAATCGTTGAAAATTTATTCTTACATTGTTTATCATTGCTTAAATCCCAATTTATCAGGGATAACGAGTTCGCACTAAATACATTTGCAGCTTTAAGTTTGTCCTTTTCGGGAAAAGATTTTTATCAAAAATTAATCAAAGATAAATCTCTCTATAACACTCTTTTTGGACTTGTTACATATCAGAAATACCTTAGTTTATTAGAATTAAATCTGCCAAAAATTATAATTAAAAATACAATTCAAATGTCAGATATTGATATATTATTTGGCCATATCCAGTCAGAAAAATCGATAGACAACTATTGCAACCTATTTGCACAAGCCCTGAAAGCTTCTAATGATGGTTTTTCTCAACTTCAAAATTATTTCGAAAAACTTTCAACACAATCGCATATGAAAGCTCTTTCTATTCTTATTCATTACCTATATGTCGAAGACAATATCTCAAACATTTTGGATTTAATTGGACTTTTAATTCAAAATTGCTCAAATGACAAGAAACTTTTTGAAATCATCATTGAATTCAAGAACAAACATAACAACCCAGAGTTTTTACATGATTTGTTTAAAGAATCTCAAAATATTATCTTAAATGAACAAAATACTGAGCAACAAGTAGTTACCTTCTGTGTTTTGCATCAAGTATGTAACATATCATTGAAAGAAAACCAAGATAAGATTCTTTTGAGTTTAATAAATAATATTCCTCAAATTAAAACAAAATCTGACATAATTATGCAGTCAATCGATAGTATATTCTCAGAAGAAGAGAATATTTCTATCAATAATCAACAAATTGACGTTCTTTTGAAATATAATATATTTTTATTGCAAAAAATCATTGAAAAGTTTGGAATCAAGGCTATCAATGACCAAACATTTGATTACTTATCAAAATGCCTCTTAACTGTTGAAAAATCCGAAGAAATTTTGATATTAATTTCCAAATTCATAATTTTATCATCACAAAAAGGAAAATTCAGCAAAGAGCACTTTGATTTACTATTAAAATCACTTCTAGAAGCAAATAACTTAGGAATCAAAATTGAATATTTAATTTATAATATTTTAATTAATTTTGAGCAGCAGCAAGAACTTATGGAGATGATTGTTAACTATTACAATGATCTTGTGTTCAAAGACGATGAAAATACCAAGAAAATTCTTAATTTGTTCATTTATTTGATCAAAAACTTTGATGTTTCATTTAGTTTGTCTCATCACAAAGGAAAACTCTCAACTGGTCAGTTCCCATTCACTGTTTACGTTTATGAGAAAGGGAACTTCACTTTTTACGTTAAAGAAAATGAAACAATTAATTCTTTCAAATCAAAAATGTCAGAATTTTTCAATTGTCCGAAAAGTGACAATTCAATCAAATTTAATTATAAAGGATCAACATTATCTGTTAAAGGAATTATAAAGATAAAGGATCTTGTTGAGAAAAACAAGAAATTGCAAGCAACAATTAGAGAAGACAAAAGAAAATTTGTTCCAAAATATTCTTTCACAGAAATTTTAGTTTCTCAAAAATTCATCAAGAAATCATTGGAACAAATGAATGATTCTAAGTTAAATGAAGACACAAAGACAGTCATTGAAGATTTCCTTGGAATTCTTCCAACAGATAACGAAATTAAGAAAATTATTTTTGAAGATTTCGCCGAAATCATGGATTACGAAGGCTACGAACAGAAATATGTTTTTGAAGCAATAACAATGTATCTATCAAGAAACCAGATCAAAAATCCAGAAGAAATCGAAGAATTTTCCGAAATTTGGCAAAAATTGAAAGAAAATGAAATTTCTGAAGAAAACAAAATTTCTGCTTTGCAAATCTTCGAACAAATAGTTCCACTTGATGATACGTTTGTTATAGACTTAGATTACATTATGTCAAAATTGACAACGGATGATAAACAAGAAAAGTGTCAATTTTTAAGAATTTTACAAAATATCATTAAAAAGTATCCAGAAGATTTCGGATTGATTTTGTCAACGGAGCCAATAATTTTAAGTGAATATGTGTTGAAATACGATTCAGAAATTTTGGAAAACATGAATTTGGAAAATTTACAAAACAAAAAATTCCTTTTCCCAATTTTGATAAAAACCGTCAAAAATCTTGACAACGCAAAGTCTCCTGTCTTGATTTTAGAGATATTGAACAGTCTTATTGATGAATCTTGCGATATCACAGAATTATTAGATTTTTGCAATGAAAAATTTGACAAAATCGAGTTTACAAAAGTTATTTGTCAGATTTTGGATAAAATTTTCCAATTCCATCCTAATTTAATTTCAAAAACCAAAAGAAATATCGACAAAATCTTTGACTTGTTTATCAAAGAATGTTCCGCTGAAGAAGACAATTTCGCTTTAGGAGTTTTGTCAAAATCAATGTCAGATTTGACACTTAAATCTCAAATTGAAAAGAAGCTGTCAAATTTGTTTGATTTTGAATTGAATACGTTTAATTTTTCACCATTCAATCAAAATAACCGTCAGAACGAAGAATATTGTGGTTTAGTAAATCACAAATGCAATTGTTGGTTGAATACTATATTACAAGAAATTTATTGTAATGAAAATTACAAGAAATTAATAATTGAAACAAAAAGTGACAAGGAATGGCATCAACAATTACAATTATTATTGACAGAGATGAAATACACGAAGAACAAGTTTGTTGATCCTCTTCCTTTCATCAGGACCTTCAAATTACACGAAACACATGATATAAAAGTAGGAAATCAAGAAGATGCTGAAGAATTTTATACTTCTTTGGTCGACCAATTAAATTCGATCGGCATTTCAAACAAAGAATTCATGATACAGACAAAAACTGATGTAATGTACAAATTGGAGTTTAATGTTGATATTCCTTTCGATGAAAACTTAAAGAAGATTGGCAAAACGGTTTTGACAGCTCCAAATACGTTAATTATTCAAATAATGAGATGGACATTTGCCAATTCCGAAATTGTCAAGAAAAATACTGTTTTTGATTTCCCACAAAAATGTGACATTTCCATCGTCATGGACGATAATTCATCACAAGTTTACGAACTTAAATCTGTTGTCATGCATATAGGAACTCAGGAATATGGTCATTATTATAACCTTATTCGTAAAAGTGATAAATGGATTATGATTTCTGATGATTTGATTGAAAATTTGACAGAAAATGAAGCTTATTCGTATATTAATGGTTACAATGATGAAAATGAATTAAGTTATTTGTTATTCTATGAAAAAGTTGATTCTGTCAAAAGTGAAGTGATCAAATACGATGAAAACGTTGTTAAATCTATTAAAGAAAAGAATGAATTGATGTCTAAGCTAAGTATTGCATTTTCACCATCAATTGTTTCTTTGATGATGAAAGTTACAGATGAAAAACTTCTTTTCACTTATTTAGTGAATGTCGTGATGCATGGTTGTGCTGTTGACACAACTTTGTCTTTGTTTAGTCATATAAGAACTGTGTTTTCTACTTCACCTGCAACAGCTGTTAAAATCTTTGTAGAAAACAAAGAAAAAATTGTCAAGTTTTTGACATCAGTTTCTCATTCTCAATTGATCAAAAACATGATTTCTACTGTTTTAGAAAGTTGCCAAAAGGTTCAGCCAATCGATGCTTATCCTTTATTATCTGAAGCTGTCAGTTTACTTAATGATATTTCAATTGATACGATCGAAACTGTATTAATTGATTTCATTTCTTCATGGTTAGATAATAATGATCAAATGACTGAATTTTGCTGTGAAATTGATTTATTCAATGAAATTACAAAGATTTTGACAAAATTCTTCTCGAATTTGATGATAAGATTTGATGTTGATATTTCCAAATTCATTGATTTAATGTCATTTAATATCAAATTCATTTCCAAGGAAATCATTTTGGAATTCATCAAAACAATGCCAGTTTTCATTGAAAACAGCAAAAACAAAGTCAGTTTTAGTTCTCTGATGATTGAATGTTGTGCAGAAGGATACTTGTCGTATAACGAACTCTGCCAGAGAATATTGAATCACAGGAAGACAACGAATAATTTGATGTCTGATTATTTCATTACTTTCCTTCAAGGCTGCAACGATGAAACAGAAATTTCGGAATTCATTGACAAATTCACTGAAAATATTCCAAATGGAATTTGTTGGTATATTGTTTATCTCAAAGAAAACATTTGTTCTGATGAAATTTTAAGGTCAATTGTCTGTGATTTCCCTCATGAAACTGTTGTTAAATATCTCTGCAATAACTCAAGAATTGTTCGTTGTTATGCAGAAGAAATCATCTATTCTTTGTTCTCTGATTTCGAAAAACCTCGTTTTTGCGCTGAAAGATTCGTTGCTGCTGAAACAGAAAAAGTGACATCTCCTACAACGATGACTTCACCTTCCACTAACAGTGCAGATATCTTTGACAAGACTATTTATAACTTGTTAGTTTCGCAGACAAAGAATATTCCAAAAGAAGCAGGAAGAGCTCCACTTCACTTCACAAATTTAATTCGAATTTCTTCTTGGATTTTCAACTTTTCTAACATGAAAAGTAAATTTGCTGAAGCTTTATGGGGTCTTTTCGAATCACAAATGTCTCTACAGACAAATCCAAATTGCAATATCCTACAATTATTGTATTCTTTCATTGATTTGAAGCCAAAAAGTGAATTCATCAGAAAAAGTGTCAAAGAAAATGGAATGAAAATCTTTAATTCCATTTTCCCGATGACATTTGAAAGAGATAATAGATTGCAGTCCGAAATATTCTTCACTTTCTTTGATCTCTTGAAAGATGACCTCAAAACCGATGTCACGTTTTTGTCAAAAATTGTTCAATCGAACAATTTCAAGACATCAGTTTTAGATGCTTTTCTTCACTCAGAAAGGAAAGATTTCTCTGTATTTTTGTCGATTTTCAATCATGAAAACGTCAGAGATGAAATGCAACCACTTTTATCGCCTTTATTAAGATGTGACGAACCAATTTTTGTTTCTAATATTTGTTCTTACTTTAATTTTGATGATTTCTCGGAAATGAAATCACAAACGGCTGTTGAAGTTTTCTTGATACTTTATAAGAAAGGGTTAGTCACAGAAAGCTTAGTAATAAGAATAATATCAATAGAAGATGATGAAGAAATCAAAGTTGATTTGTCAAAAGATAATTTTGACTTATCAAATTGTTCGAATTTTGTTTCAATCAAAGAAAGTTCTGTTGCATGGCAAAAAATTGACGGTTTTTGTCAAAATGTAATTTCATCTATTTACGAATCATTTGAGAAAGCGAAAGGAAATGGAACGTTCTTTAGGAACTTCTATCAATTGATTTGTTTTGTTGATTTACTTGGTGATGAAAAAGAGAAAGAAAAATCTTTGAATTATTTTGTCGAAAATTATCAAAATAAATTTGAAGAAAAGATTGATAATTTCGAAGATACATTTAATCTTATTGTTGATGATGTCCAAATTGATTATTTCAAGCTGTTCTCTGCTTTAATTAATTCTTTCTTTGAAAATGAATTTGATTTTTCAAAAATTTTGATCAAAATTTATCCAAAGGTTTCAGAAAGGAAGACTGAAGTAATTAATATGATTCATGATGTTTATCTTAAAAACTCTTCAAATGATCAAAGATTTATAACTTTGAAGAGACTTTATGAGCTTATCCAAGCTAATCCTGATATGAAACCAGATGTAATTGAAATATTTAACCTTCAAGAAGATGATTTTGCTTCTTGGGATGACAAAATGATTGTTTATCTTGAAATTTTTATGAAAGATGAGTAAAAAAGATGTTTATTTTTTATTAATTTTTGCTAAGTAAGCTATATTTTTGAGTAACATTTATTGTTTACCAAGAAAAATGTCGCACTCATATGAAATGGAGATTAAATTTTGTGACAGTAAGTATTTTCAAACTTTAAATTTAATTTCTAAAAAATTTACATAATATCTTAATAGAATGTATATGTTAGGAGCAATATAATTTTCCCTCAACATTTTGACAAAATCTGTAAATTGATTTTTTTGAATGGAATTAACGTATTAACAGATGCTTTTATAATTTAAAAATATTGCTCAATAGTGTTATAATAGCAAATCTAAGTCGGCAGAAAATTCAGATCATTCAATTTCCAAAATTCAATGAGTTTTTAAATTCTTCTTTGTTTTCCTTCCATATTCTCATAAATAATGATTATCATGAGCTTTCAAATCAGTTTGAAAAATTATCTTCTACAACAAGATGGTTGTTCAATTAAGAGAATCTCGAAACAGGATTAGTGAACTTGAGCAGTTTAAACAAATCTCAGCCAATTTCTCTTCGAGCTTCCAAGTACAAGAGCCGTTGGTACTTCATTAAAGAAAATGGAAACATTACAAAGCATAAAATTACGCCAAAACCTCGATTTGTGTATTCAAAACCAACTTCACCACGTCTTAGAATGACAAACTTCTTTAATAACTCAACAACATCCTTCAATGATGACGAAATCAATATCATACGCAGATCAGAGATGGAAGATACTCCAATATTAATGAAAGAATCTACCAGAAATTTATCAAGACTAGACTTAGCAAAAGAACAGAAGCTGAATAACTCTAAAGTGCGTGTTATTGAAGTAAAAAACGAGAATGTACGAGTAGTTGCAGATTTTGAAACACAATCACTGTATACTCCACGATCTTTTGACTTTTCTAATGAAGAAGACAGTAATGTGTTTGTTTCTCAACCTGATACAATACATCAACTCCCTCCAATTGAAAATGATCCGCAATTTAAAGTAGATCTTAAGCAAAACATCATGAAGTTTGCAGAAGAAAGGGAAGAAAAGACACTCAGTATGAAAGAATTTGGGTTTTCTTTAAGTAACGCTGGTTCTGAAGCCATAGAAAACCCAAAGTATGGAAGAAAACGTGTTATTAGGGCAGTTGATCATTCCACTGATCACACTAAAGTAGCCATTGAAAGTAAGATTAGTCCTGATATACAAAACACATTTTCTCTTCCAAAAATGGAAAAATATTTATTCAAGAATGGTCTTCCTGTTCCAAAAATAGTAGATAAGATATGCTTTGGTGAGAAAATGTAGATTGTTTGTATTTTACTCTATATTAGATATTATATTTGTTTAATAAATTATTTATTTGTTTGGTTATTGGTAATTTTACATTGTGTTTGCTTTGAAATGAGATCATTATGTTGTGGTTCATACGATGTTATTATATATGTTTAATTCAAAAAATATGTCAAGTGAAATCATGAATTTTTCATTATGCATCAATTTTCTGTAATTCTTTTATTCATGGTTTTTATATTCTATATAGTGAATGTTCACTTGTGAATGTAAAAAAAAATTATACATGCAAACCCTTATATAAAAGCCTTTTTTCGAGTTCAATCGATATAAAACAATGTGTTTAAGCAAGATATACTTGGCATATTGAGATTTAACATATGTCGGAATTAATTTCTGATTTTTGTATTTGAGAAAAGGCACCATTAATAATAAGAACGATATTTAAACAATAATACTTGGCATGAAATAAAATTTCAGAAATGACATTATTCTACTTTTGAATAAATTAACATTTTGACATTAAAAACAAAGATTGTTTCTAATTTAGAAATGTTTTATTCCATATATTAAATTCGAAAAATAAAATTCAATTGAAAATGGAGGTTTAGCTTTTAAATTGTATTATTTTTAATCGATAAGCGTTCTAACTCGATCCGGAATTTATTTATTTTATCATATAAAAAATTTATTTGAAATGATTTTGAAAGCTATTCAAATACGACACGATTTTCAATAGGTGTCATTTTTCTGGAATTATTTTCGTCACTTCAAGTGTAAGCAAAGTCATCTTATTAATTATCTCAAAATCAAAATGATATTTAATTATTCAATTTGCAAAAAATTGAATTGAATGATTTAGTTTTGTAAATTTAGAGAAATCTGTCATTTCATTTAAAAAAAAACGATTAATGTTTGCGTTCTTTGTATGTTTTAATGCAGCCAATCCTGTAAGCAAGGTTGGCTTCAGAGATGTAAGCGATATGGATGATACCACTGATCAAATTGGCTATTATGATATCGATTACAGATTAGATGGAGTTGGAATTCCATTTTCATTGCTTAACATCGGAACAGAATTTAAATTAGTAGTAGATGGCAAAACATATTATCCCAAACAATATGAGCGTGGTCCATTCGGTGGGCTCGACATTGAACTTTATATGGACAAGATTACAGAAGACGATTTTGCAGTTCATTATAGAATTACAAACAAAGGGAAAAAAGCAGCACGTTTTCAACTTGGAACATTTACAGATGTTAGTTTTAGAGACATGGTCAATGGCGATATCAATAACATCAAAGTTCTCAATGATAAAAGAATTTTCTATGTTTATTGCTCTGATCTTGTTAAAAATCCTTGGCAAAAATTAGTTTTCGATCAAAGACCACCTGATTCTGACAGACTTCAATATATACCACCAAATCACCACTGGTTTGGTTTATTACCAGATAATGCAGATAAATATAATATGAGATTCAAGAGTGATGCTGATAACAAAGACTTTGCAGATCCCGAAGGACAGTATCAAGATATTTCAGTCTCTCATTCTTGGGATGAAATTGAAATCGGAGTAGATGAAACAGTTGTATTAGGAAACAGAATATATTTCTTGATGAAAACACCTTTTGAAATTAACCCAGAAAAAAAGGTAATATATTCTGAGCCTCAAAATAACATTGCGCTTCCTACTTGGATTAGAATCCTTGAATATGGTAAGAAATACCATCCTCAAATCAAGCTTCATTCACAGCCTGAATCAGGTTGGAGAGATGATCGTGGATTGTCATTTACATGCAGAAATAATTATGAGAACTGGAAATTCAGAGTCAATCATCCTCAACAAGGAGAATTCGTTTATGATTTAAGACTTGTTCAGGAAAACCCTCGTTTAGTTTCAAATGTTGAAACAGTTACACTCAAAGTTTCCACAAAACCCCATTTAGGCATTGCTCCTATTGATCATGAAGTGACCAAAGTTTATAAAAACGACGATTCAATAAAATTTAAGGCAACAATTCGAGGTGATTCAACAATTAATCTAAAATATGTTGTGATAAAAATAGGCAAAAACAATGTTAGAATAAAGGAGTTTGAAAAATTATCAGAGCCTTTTAATCTAGAGGGTCAAGGTTTATCGGATCAAAATTTCGAAGCTGAATTTTCACTCCAAGAAGCCCATCTCAGATCAGGTGATTACAAATTAGAGATAACAGCAATTAACTCCCATGGCCTCTCATCTGATACAAAAACAATTGAATTCAAGACTAATTATGCTACAAAAATTATTAAATATGAATTTAAGCCAAAGAGTGTTGTAACTCCAGGATCTAATGTTGAATTAGTGGGAACATTTTTAGAAGAAGATATTCAACAGGTTATTAAATTCCATCTGGATCTCAAAGATGGTCAAGCAAAGCATGATTCTGATCCCTATCAAGCGAAGGGAAGAGAACAATAATTTTCAATCAAATTCACAGCACCCAAGACTCAAAAATTATACGATTGTGAATTGACAGCAACTGATGAAAATGAAAAAGAGTTTTTCAAGAAAGAAATACAATTGCGTGTTTCAATGGCACCTGGTTTTTCAACTGAACCTAAAACTTTAGACACGACCTTCTCAAGTAATGATGTAATCAATCTTGCATTATCTGTTGAAGATGAAACAAAAGGTGCCTTCTATTATTCATTAGACGGAAATAGTGAGCAACTAATTGAAAACTATACAGCAAATGATCAGAAAAAAGCAACTGCATCATTTAGATTTCGTTTGCAAGAAAATGGTATTCGCTATTCTTCAAAAGGTCATCTATTAGAGGTTTTCGCCCGAGATGAATTCGGCTTAGAATCAAAGAGACTAAAATTCCCCATTGAAGTTTTAAGTAAACCGGATCTAAAACGTGTAGATTTACCAGATATGGCTGATCCATTTAAACCAGTTGAATTTGAAATAACATATGATGATTTTGACGCTGGAAAGACATTATACATTTATATTAAATATGATGGAAAGATCGAAAAAGAGCAATTTCCGTCAAATGGTAAGCAAGGTCAAAAACAAACAATATCACACAAATTTTCTGAACCTGGAAATTATACTGTAACATTCATGCTTTCATCACAAGAGCAAAGTCCAGAAACAGGTCATGAAAACTCAAAATCTGGAGAAATTTCTGATAAGCATATCCTTTTAACAAATGCACCCAAAGTCAGTTGTGCTCTTACAGATGCAAAAGTCAATTATTTCGGATCTGGAGAAACATTTGAAATTATGTTTACAGTGCATGATGATAAAAAAGGAGCTATTGAATACTATATTGATTCTCAAAAGGTATTCACAGACGATAATAATGTTCAAAAGGATTATACAGTACCAAATGGTCAAGAATTTATAGTAGTAACTACTAATATCACGATTCCATCTCACCTTGTTTATGATGATAATTCAATACATAATCTCACCATTAGTGCTATAGATAATTTCAATTTGGTTTCACAACCACCATGTTCGATCTTTTTCAAAGTTAGAAGTATGCCAAAAGCAACTGGAATCGAGTTAAATACTTCAAAAATTTACAGCGATAGTGAGTATCCTGATATTAAGATAACATCTAGCTATTATAATGATGATGAAAATAAGCCACTTTCATTTTACATCAAGGAAAATATTAATGGTCCAGAAAAATTACTTGGTACTATACAGAAGCCAACAAAAGGTACTGGTTCAACAACATTTGTGCACGAAATCCAAACCAAATCATATATGAACTTACCATTAATCTTTTGGATTGAAGATGATGAAAATCCTGCTGAAGATTTTAGAAACGGAGAATCTAATAATATAACGAAATACATAAATGTCACATCTGTTCCAAAATTTTCTTGTGATTGCTTCGAAGAGAGATACTTTGGAAAGAAGGATGTAATCAAGTTATCAGGTCTTTTACAAGATGATACAGCGGGAGAAATTAAGTTTAGTATAGTTGGAAATGATCAACGTCATTATTTGGATATGAGTATTCCTTATAATGCCACACATACTAAAGGAAAGACCCCTATGGATTTCTCTCCAAATATCTCAATTCCAGATGGTTTGCAGCTTAATGAAGAATATACTCTCATCTTCTACCCTGTTGATGAGTTTGGTGTTGAAAATCCTAAACCAATTCCATGTCCATTCAGATATAAGAGCAAACCTATTCTCAAGGATTTGCGGTTATCAACGGATAAGCCAGTTGACAATGATGAAAAAGTCAATATTTCTGGAAATCTTATCGATTATGATAATGGTAAAACAATATATATTTATCAGCAAATTGGACTTCAAGAACCAGTTAAACTGGGTTCCATTGAATCAGATGGAACTGAAAATAAGCACCAAAAGCAGTTATAGATTCATCAGATTCTTCTAAACTTACATCAGTTGCAATGATTTCAACGGTTTGATTACCAGATGATAGTGTCAATAAGCCTTTTTGGGATCCAGATGTAATAGTTAATTTCCCACAAGAAAATACTTATAAATCAGGTGATTTGTTTGATTACACTATTAACATTTCAACCGATCTGGAAGGAAAGATTTATATTTATGATGATATCATCAAGCATAATATGGGTCAAAACCTTGAGGTCATTAATTACTCCCATTCAACTATTCTTCCAAAGAAATTTAAAGTCAATGGATTTGATGGAACCAAACAATTATTCGTCCGAGTTGATGGTCCATCTGGTACACATGCAGGACCATTTAAATTCGTATATGAAATAGTAACGCCACCTATATTGAGGGAATTTTCAATTCCAACAAATGTTGGAGTTCCAGGTAAAACGATTCCGCTTAAATACGTATATGCCCTAGATAAGAACACATATTCTTCCAGTCCCAATAAACAAGTTTACTTCCTTTATAAAATTAATGACGATATCAAAAGCTTCGGAAGTGAAACTTACTCCTTAAAAGGTAAAGATAAACCTCGAACATGGTATTATACAGTGCCCCTTGATACACCTTCAGTTCCATTGAAAGTAGAAGCATGGGTTCAATATTCTAATTATAAACTACCAAAAAAGAATACAAATTCAGCTCCAATATCTGCAACTGTGCCTATCTCTAAAGCACCAATTGTAGATTTTAACTATCCAACAGAAAGAAATGAATATGGATATGAAGATATCATACCAATAAATCTTGGAATTCAAGATGAAGGCACGATCAGTTATGAAGTAAAATTTGGTGGAATTAGTGCAATTAAAAAAGAGGGAATTCGTATCAATAATAATGAACGCATCATTCCACTACAACTTCAAATTCCAGAAGCTGTTAAATTTAATGAGAAGCATCCCACAGTAAATTGTGAAATCATTGTCAAGGATGAATTTAACCAAGAAACAAAGGATATTCACTCCTTTACTTTAAGATCAAAACCTGTTATAACCTTACTTGACCAACTTCCAGGAGATACTAAATTTGTTCCTGGAGAATCTTTCCTTGTGCGCTGCTGGTGCACTGCCAAAACAATACCTCAGCATTTCTGTTGGTATTATAGCTTTGATGATGGTAAATATGTACCAGGACACTCGTATTATCGATACACATCAGCAAACAAATGGGTTACACCAAAAATAGTAGTTCCCTCAGGAATGGCACCTGGACCACACATTGTTAAAATAATGATGTCCTCAAGGCAAAACTTAAACACAGTTCCTCGAACACCAAATTCAGACTCAGAAGAAAAGTCATTTACAGTTGAAGTTACAAAGACCCCTATTCTAAGACTTGATGAATTCATGCAAAAAGTTTATTCAAATGGTGGTAGACTTCAAATAACTGGAACTATTGAAGGATATGGATCGATTAAGATCAAAGTTAATCTCGACAATCAGGAACTTGAACCAATTAATGATTATGTTCCAAATGGAAAATTAAGTACTACTATTTCAAAGCGTATATATTTGCCAGAGAAAATGGCATTTGGAGCTCATCAAATAACATTCCAACCATTCTCATCAGGTCATCCAGGTAAACAAATAACTAGAACTATTAATATTAAGAATAAGCCAAGACTCATTTCGGTCACTTCAAGCTATCCAGATTATGGAAGAGGTGGAGATTTTATTGGATATGCTACACTCACCGACTATGATGTCTCGAAGCCACTATATATTTATGGACAGCTTCCTGATGAAAAGCCATTCATACTATTTTCAGGAAAATCAACTGGTGAAGAAGAGAGAGAAATATTCCTGTCCGGTACATTCGATACAAAACATCTTGGAAAGGTTGAAATGAAAATTTGGGCTACAGATATTCAAGATCCAAATAAAGGAGATGATCTTGATAAGTCTGAAGTTAGATCTGTTCAATTCATTCTTACAGATGTTCCTCGCGTTAAAGTTACATTTCCAACTTCTCGTTACCATACAAGTAATGAAACAATTGAAACAATTGTCGAAGTTCAAGATGATGATTTTGTGATCTTAAAAGTACAGATTGATACAACTGAGATTTCTGCTCTTGAAGAACGAATTGATTCCAAATCTGTATTGAAGAGACAGCCAAAGAGTATCCCATTAAACAATCTTGAGTATGGTCCTCATTTCATCTTTATGTATGTGGAGGATAGCCTTGGATACGTTTCTGAAGCTGAATTTTATAGTTTCACCGTTATCAATTATCCAAAAATCGAAAAAGTACAGTTCGAAAGATCATATGCAATTCTAAATGAAGTCATTGATTTCAATTTAACATTTTCTGATTATGATTATTACAAGCCACTATACATCTATTTACAGATTGGAGACAAAGATATTCAGAATTCAATTCATTCTTTATACTCACCTGGAAAAATGAACCATGAATTAACAATAGGACTTTTCATTGACAAGGATGAAAAGCCTGGTACTTACCCTGTAAAGATATGGATGTCTAACAGCAACAGGCCATTTAAGACTGACAACTATATCAAGAAATCAGAAGTATATGAAACAACACTTGTAATTGCATATAGGCCAACCCTTGAAATTAGACAACCAAATAGAGCAATTTATGCTGATGGAGAAAAGATTCCAATTGTTGGTACAATCTCTTCATTCTCAAATCTGATTCTTAAGTATCGTATTGAGGGGTTGTGCCATGTGAGGTGAAAATCACCATACACCGATTGGACCTTTTTAAAAAAAGATATGGTGAGTATTTGATTTGTTCCTTGGTATTTTGCACGCAGATAGACTAGGGTAATGCCGATCATTTCGTGTAGGAATTACGTAAAAAAAAATATGACCCAAGTTATTCACATTATAAAATTATATAAAGTGTGTCTAATTTCAATAATATTCATATGACCTTATAGTATGGTACCTATATAATAATAATACATATAGTTTATAGTAATATCTCAGTTTTTATAGTTTGATATCTTATTAATTATGATCAATATGTGTGTATTAGTGTATATTTTACATGGCGCATATAGACTTGTGTTAGACACACACATTTATATATATTAAAATGAAAAATACGCAGATAATAAGGATCTCAAGATGTGATGCCGAGCATCTGCTACTTATTTGGGGTAAGCAGCAGATGCTGGCATATATGTGTCATAGCAAGTGTATCTATGCTAATAGATTACACTTGCTATGACTTTCCCGGAATCTCAAGATGATTCCGGGAAAAACAGTAATAACCTCTCAAAATGTTCGTTTCAATATCATAAAGCTGAGAAATGGGCTTTGACCTTGAGAAAAGGCCCATTTCCCAGCTTTATGATGAATTTTAGTTATCATTGCGAGTGTCTGCTGCAAATCTCGGTTGAAGCAGCAGGCACTCGCAACCGTATTCCACGGCAAGTGTATTTATGGTGTTGGAATGCACTTGCCGTGGCTTTTGTACAATCTCGTGATCTTACTGGAGTGAGCGGCAATGGAAGCCAAAACCACTCCACTCAGTACCAGAAAGCTATGAAGGAAGTCCTAACCTAGAGAAAGGGCTTCCTTCATAGCTTTCTGGGTGACATGAGATTTGTAATTGTTGAACATTGAGTATTTTGCAGGCTCTGGCCTTTGCTTGGGCCAGAGCTTCGTATTTGGATGTTCCCAGGGCCGGATTCCTCTCCTGCCGCCCTAGATCAGGACGGCATTTGAGAAAGCCGGCCCTGAGGACAGTAAGCGAAGCCCTGGCCTTTGCTAGGGCCAGAGCCTGTATTTGTATGTCTTTCAGGGCCGAGTTCTTGCGAGACCGTCGACATGATCGACGATCATCGCAAAACTCGGCCCTGAGGATTGTATTTGCAGGCTCTGGCCTTTGCTTGGGCCAGAGCTTCGTATGGGAACTCTCTCGGGGCTGGTTTCCTCTCCGGCCGCCCCGAATCAGGGCGGTCTTTGAGGAAACCGGCCCCGAGGATGGTTTGCGAAGCTCTGGCCTTAGCAATGGCCAGAGCTTGTGATTTTAATGAAGAGCCAAGTTCCTCTCGGATCGGGCCTAATGAGGACGACCGTCGAGGAACTTGGCTCTGAGCTGATGAATTGTAAACTCTGGCCTCGATGAAGGCCAGAGTTTTTAAGGGAATGTTTTGATGGGATGAGCCTATGCTCAGTAAGCTCATCCCATCAAAACATTCGTTTAAAAATTGAATTAAAAATTATCGTATGCATTGAAAAATTAAAAAAATAAAAATGAACAATATTATTATTATAAATTAGATATTGAATAAATTATCCAAAAATTGAAAATTTTAAAAATTAAATAAAAAATAACAAATTTCATAAGAAAATTAAGGAATAGAGAAATATTAGATAGAAAGAGTATGTTTATTTATGATTATAAGATTGAAATAATGAGATTTTGAGAGTTTTAAGAAGAATGTGATCTTTATATTTTTTTGGAGGAAGGTTTTACAAGAAAGGAGTTAACAAATGCAGGGTATTGTCCCTTTACCCTGCATTTGTAAACTCCTTTCTCGAATTGAAATTCGATGTTTAACATTCTTTGAAAAAAGTGCAAGCTATTCGAGAAAGGAGTTTACAAATGCAGGGTAAAGGAACAATACCCTGCATTTGTAAACTCCTTTCTCGAATTGAAATTCAATGAATCACATTCAAGTGAAAAAGTGCAAGCTATTCGAGAAAGGAGTTTACAAATGCAGGGTAAAGGAACAATACCCTGCATTTGTAAACTCCTTTCTCGAATTGAAATTCAATGAATCACATTCAAGTGAAAAAGTGCAAGCAATTCCTGATTTGCTCATATAGGTGCAGGGTCCTAGTGATAGACCCTGCAAATATATGAGCAAATCAGGAATTGTGTCTGACACATTCGCATCGAAGAACAAAAGTGCGCGCTTTTCCCATTCTGCACATATGGTGCAGGGTGCCAGTGATAGACCCTGCATATATATGTGCAGAATGGGAAAAGTGTTTGCAACATTCGCATCGAAAGGTAAAAGTGCAAGCTTTTCCCATTCTTCACATATTAGTGCAGGGTGCCAGTGATAGACCCTGCACCATGTGTACAGAATGGAAAAACTATCTACTTTGAATATTCTGCATCGGAATCTCTTGGTCAATATACAATTAAATACAATGATCACATCGATATTTGGAGATACAAGATAAGTATCTCCAAATGCCGATGTGATCATATATGATTGTCGATAAAAATTTGAAATCTCAAATAAGATGCAGATTAAAAAATGGATATGTGACCAAAATGAGTTTACAAACACAATATAGAGTATATATATAGATAGCTCATTGTATTCAAAATGAAATAAAACAAAATTTTTGAAATTCATATCTTATATAAAACACATTATTCCTCAATACTATCTGAGTAAATATGGCTTGATTAGTATAGATATATGCACATATATTTGGCCCCCAATATAAATTCTATGTTTTCGGGAAAGCAAAAGGTCCAATCGGTGTATGATAAATTTCACCTCACATGGCACCGCCCCATCGTATTGATGATACACCAATTAGCCAAACAGATGAAATCACAGTAACAGAAAGTCCAAAGGACTTCAATGTATTCTTTAAGATCCCTGATGACTACAAGTATGGTCCACACAATCTCAATGTTCAAGGATTTGATGTAAATGGAGAAAAAACATCAAACACAAACATCAAATTCGTCATTCAAAATCCACCAAAAATAATTAGTATCAGTCTCGAAAAAGAGAGAGTTCAGCCAGGCCACGTATTAAGATTCTCTGGAATTGTCCGAGATCCAGATCTTAATAATACACTTAAGTTCATCGGAAGAATTGATTCGGCAGCCGATGAAATCGTTCATAGGATGGTTGCAGATTCAACGGAACAAGAATTTGCATTTGAATACATTGTCGATGCCGACATCGAAGTTGGCGAACACGAATTCATAGTCAAGGTTGTTGACGATGATGATTACTCATCAGGTGTAGCAACTGTTGGTTTCACAGTTTACAAACCAAGCAAGGAAGAAACGGAAGGAGGAAATGGAGGTGGTATCAATGGTCCAGGCAAAGATGATTCATCCAGTGCTATAACTAACACCACCACAAAGAAGAGTTCAACCAAAGGTTTAATTGCGGGAATAGTTATTGTTGGAATCATTCTTGTTGTTCTTATTATTGTTGCAGTTATTTTGTTCATGAAATCTCGTGGAGTAAACTCAGCTCCAAAGGATCAAGATTCTGTCAGTGATCATTCAGACCTTGAAGAAAAGGAAACTGAAATCATGACAGCAAGCACAGTTACTCCAGATGAAATAGCTACAAGAGATAATCCTTTATTCTCTTCCAATGAGATCAATAATGATGGAGATCCATTCTCTGATGAATTCGAAGAACAACAACAAGTTTAAAGAGATTGATTTAAAAATTTACGTTTTATAAATTATACTTTTTTTAAAGCCTTTATACTTCTAAGCTATATATATGATGACTTCGGAAAGTTGGCATAATCATTTTAATACCTTTGACTTATTGTTATGAATTGTCTGATTTTAATAATAAAATTACTGAATTAAAAGTGTCGCTTCAAAGATTTGAATCCTGCTACGTAGATGTGCATCATTAATTTGCTTTTCTTTTGATTATATATCTATAATTGTAAAAAAAATTGATTATGTTCATTAATATTTCAAGCATTTTACAAACAAAATGGTTTATTAATATGTACAAACAATGTGATGGTATGTTTGATAGTTTCTTATTTATAAAAGATAAAATTAATTAGAAAATATCCGGCCAAAAAGCAAAACAAGATTTTTGCTATTGTAGCAAACGATAATGCCTCGAAGAAGTCATTAATTGCTTGTCCAAGATAGTTAAAAGTAATCTCTGATTTTTCAATTTCAATTTTTGAATCTTTGCATTTCTTAAAGTTCATACATGCTTCTTGGTAACGTGGTTCGTTAATGTTTTGATCGCAAAGATTGTCTTCGTAGTCTTTTTTGCATTTTTCAATTTCAATTTTTTTCATTTCGTAAAAATCCTTTTCTCTTTTCTTGATATCCAATGAAATTGATCTGAATGTAATGAAAAATAAGAACAGTCCAATGATTGTAAAGATTATTTTAATAATAATATTGACAATAATGTGAGTTGTAGCGGCCTGAACAATCTTTTGGTTTTCACTGATCACATCATTAATGTTTTGCGCAACAACAATCCTATTTTCATTGTCATTTTTTCGTTGAACAATTGTCATTTGAAAAAAAAATATTATTCACTTTTTAGTGTGTTCTTATTAACTTTATGTGATTTTTATAATGAAAATTGCTTATAATTGTATAGTAGATAATAGATATTTATGTTTTATCAGATAATTTTATGAATCTTTTTCCTCATCAAAATATATTTTCATGAAAATCAATTCTTGAGTGAAAAATAGAAGAAGTAGCACCATCTGATATCATCGATAGAAACATCGCATAACATTGAAATGTGAAATTTCTTATGCTATCGAATGAGATTTCTTTAGAGAAATACAAGTCTCATGATTACTATACTATGATTTGTGAGAATTAAACTTAAATTTCACAATGAAAACCAGCGCGAGACAGAAAGCCGCCTCAGAAACGATTGCATTATCCATAACAATGCTTACAGATATGGCTTCGTCATCCAAAAAGAACATTGACAAGGACGTCAGATGGATTACAGAAGCGAAAGCAAATTTAAATAAAATTGCCGAAGCCACGGGCCAACTTAGGAAATGAAAAAAAGACGCACATCCAATGATAGAATCCGCTGTTAATACATTTGATGCAACAGCGAATGCTGTTCTCAAAGTTATGGATTCAATCAGCGATACAACTCTCAACAAAGCATTAGAATTCACATCAAACTACGAAGAAAATATAATGCAGGTAAATTCATGCCTTAAACAAAATCTCGAAGAATTAATCAATTTAAATGAAAATTTTGTTAACGATACAACACATCCATGCCATTTGGACATAAGAGAATGTTCTCAATTTGGATATGATGTTCATTGCAGCTACCTCCGTTATTCAAATGCTTTGGATGAAATCGAAAAATCGTTTTTGAATTTATACGCGGATATGAAGAATATTGATGATCGACTTGTTGCGTTCAACCAAGTCTTTATGAAGAATGTAAATGGCTGTTTTGTTAGTTCTCTTCCGCATTCCGCTGCAAAGCACGACGATCACTACAACAAGATCGTTAGACTATTTAGAACTGGTTTTCAAGGATTTAGATCTCCTTACGTTATTCCTGTTTATGCAGCCAAATTTGAAACGCCAACTGTTACTATGAAGGCAACTACTGCATTTAATGGTACAAAAGTTGGGGAAATATCAATCCAATCCGGTGAAAAAGTCGAAGCAATTACTACTTCTTACGCAGACTGGATGAAAATCAGAACTGCTAATGGTAATGAAGGCTTCGTACCTGTTAATATCCTTGAACCTGTAAGATAATCGTTTTAACCAGTTGTCATCATGTTTTTTGTTACAAATTTCGAAATAATTTTAAAAATTATTTATTTTTATGATTTGAATCGAATATATTTTATATGAACATCTATATTTGTATTAAAAATAGTGAGTTAAACTCTCTAAATTCTCAGATTTAAAAAATAATTTTTGAATTTCTCATTATAATCAGCTCAAATTAAAAATATAAGTTATATTAGAGTAAATACAATGTTTTATATTATTACAAACAATAAATATTATTAAAATAAAATCTTTGCATCAAATCTTCTTCAAATTGACTTAAATATCATAATTAATGGACAAACAAGTAAAATTTAACTGAAATTGGATATCAGTTAATGGTTAAATTTGAAATTATTGAAAAATATTTTTGATGATTTTTTTAATTAGTTGTAAACTATTGTAAATGATCGTAAATGTTGTAAACTAAGATTATGAGATAATAATCTTTTGTATTAATGTTAAAAATAAAATTTTTTGAAATTATTTTTTGTTTTTGAAAAAATCTGATATAGTATTAGTAGTACATGATGCAAAGAGTTAATTCATTATGTTAGAATTAGATTATTGAATAATTTCTTTTTCATATTTGTAAATTGAAAAGATTTTGTTTGCCTTCTTAACCTCTTCTGCTATTTCTTCTGAGTTTGGCTGGAAATGTTCGCTGGAATTGCAAATTGGGCAACAATTTTTATATTTCCATGTTTCCTGACATTTCTTGCAGCAATAGACCTGGCAACAGTTGAATTTAACTGCTTCTTCTGGTTTAACGATTTCGTAACAAATTTGACAAATAATTGGTTTAATTGAGAAGTTATTTGTAAAAGTTATGTGTGATTCTGGTGAATCAAGCAGTTGTGTTGCTCCATTTTCAGTTTCCTTCTTGAGATCGAAAGCGTCGAGGTATCTTAAAACTTGGCCTTGATTTATATTAAGAGATTGAAAGTGTAGGTATGGGCAATGTATATCTGTGCATTCTTCACCCATTTGAACTTTCGGACACATTGCCATTATTGGAAATTTTGTTTCACTCATCAAAGAAATGTCAGACATGTGATATGAAATTTTGCAATATTGAATGAATGATTTTGATTTTTCTCCTGATGAGATGATAGAAATTTTAGAAAAGGCAGCACAATCTGATAAAGAAGCCGAGAAGATTAGATCTAACTATATAAAAAGGACTGATTCTTATGCAATTTTTCTGGCTATCTTAGAACGTAGTGATATATCAAGACAAATACGATTTATATGTCTAAATACTATTAAAAATATTGTTACTAATTCAGAAGTCCATAGAAAACTGCTTCAACGCATTATTTACGATTATATTGACAATAATTATCAATATTTGTACACTGTTGATTTTTTGAAGAACTGCATATCAGATCTATTTGTTATTGAGTTACAAGATGCTCCAGATTTGGCTACAAAAATGATTGAAAAATTTATCTCAGGAGATCAAGGCCAATTCATTCTAGGTATTGAATTTGCAAAAAGCTACATTCAGAAAACACATTTATTCGATGAATTCAGTTCAATTTTCTCAGCAATTTGCAGAATTTTAAATAATCCTGATTATTCTGATTTATACAAAACATTTTGCATCCAATTCATCTCAGTATTCACTGAAGATTTATTTAAATCGAAATTAAAAGAAATTCCTTCATATTTCAGAAATCAAATTTCAATCTTCTCAATTACCGGATTCTTCTCGCAATTACTAAGAGTCCCTCCACAAACAGGTCAATCCCTCATCAATTTCATTGAATATTTAGCTCAAATGCCTCCAATAACTTCTGTTCCTTCATTTCTTGATCCAATTGACGAAGAAACACTAAATATGAAGTATGCACAATCAATATCGGAGATAATAGAGAATATTAACATCGCTTTCGGTGCTCAACAGATTACATTTGAACAATTTGCAGATTTGGCCGATCTTTCAACGACAATTTCACAAATAAATGTTGTAGAAAGATTAGAAGATAGAGAACTCGTTTGTAACTTCGTAAATTCTGTTCTTTCAGCGCTAAATCGTTCAATTTCAAAAGATTCATTGATCCAGAACAGTTTAATAGCTGAGAAACTCTTTAACGCATTATATAATGTCATAAATCTCTTGCACGAGAACGAAATGCAAGAATTTTTTGAAAAATCTTTGCCAGATTTAAACCAAGCGTTTTACAGCACTTTATTTGAGCAGACAACAGACCAGAATGGCTGCTTATACGCTATATATGAGAATGATGCCTCTTATTCCTTATTTTCCAATTTTTCGCATATTTTACTTTTTAATTATCAACAAAACATTGAGAATTTGATTGAAACGATCAATGATTTAGCATCTAACAAGAACATAGGAATAGCTGCATGCATCGAAATAGGCTGCAAACTGATGTCAAACAGATCAAAAGACAAAAACCACCTTCCCTCTGAAAATATCAAGACAGACGTGTCATTGATCACAACAGTAGCTGATATAGTCGCGAATCTCGAACCTCTCGTTGACCAATTCTCATTTTCGGCAACAAATAATCCGAAAATTTGGCTGGAACTCGCTCTAGTTCACTTTTTCGTATCTGTACAGAAGATATATCTCAATACTGTTGTAGGAAGAGCGTTCTTTTCACAAAATCCGTTGATTTTTTCGGTATTTTTCAGTAGAATTTTATTTGATTTAAGTTCTGAAGACATTGACTTCCAAGAACTCAACCAAATGGTCTCATGTTTGAATTTCGACTCATTCCCCGACGAAGTCATCAACGAAATCCTTTCAAACGAGGAAATAATGAAGAATGTAATTTCTTGTCATTTTCCTTTCATTTTTGATGAGAATCTTGATGACCAATCGAAGGCTTTGTACAGAACATTGTTTTCTTTCGCGAATAGATGTAAGGATGACTCAGTTCTTTCGGCAATTCTCCAATCAAATATTCCAAGATTGGATAATCCGCAGTTAGTTAAATGTACGTTGGATTCTTTGCTCGGATTCTTCGAAACTAGAAGGAATATTGAGTATACCCTTAATTTCTTCGTCGAAGCTTTCTTCCCAAAAATTATTGAAATCACAAATTTGGAAGAAAACGTCAAAAACGTATCGGAGTTCTGCCTGAAGTATAGTCAGATCATTGAGCAATCGGATGACATCGAATGCCTATCGGAAATGGCAATGACGCAGTTCAAAAGTTTTTCAACACTTTTTTCCCATATCGTTAAAATTTCGAATTCAAATGAAAAAAGTGTCATGGAAAATTTGACAAGCTCTGTTTACAATATGTTGAAATGGAAATGTGTTAATTATGGAGTTCTTTATCTTTACGGGAACAAGGATATTTATGGCATTTTAGTTGATTATTTTTCAAAAATTTTTTCAATCGAAATTGAAAAAATTATTACAGATCATCTCTTCTTATTTAAGATTGTTGATGTTATTGTTGAATCATCTTACTTATTCCGTCAAGATTTGGCTGATATTCCTTTAGGAATTCGTATTTCTTGCATAGAATTCATGACGATTTCCATTTCTTTGTCCGACCAAGTTAATTATATGATAGAAAATATCTGTAACTCAATATTAACATGTTTTCTGGACGACCTTGACCTTGTTACTGATGAAAACAATTGTTTACATAAGTTTTTAGTAAGTTTGGTATTTTTGTATGTTAGAAAAGAATTTCCAGACCAAAAACCTGTGAAAGAAGCAATATATGCTTTGATCAAAGCTGATAGAGACTTCCTTTTGACTGCTCTTTCTTCAACCGAAATGTCAACTGATGAAAATAGAGAATTCGTTGTTTCGTTGGTCGAATATATTCAGAATAATATCTATAGTGAGAATGTGTGGAATAGCTTGAATACTGCCCTCAAAATGATAGTAGAATCTGTGAATAATTTAGATTAAATTTATATTTGTTTCATTTTTGTATGTTATGATAAATAAAGAAATAAAGTATGTAGATGTAATATGATTTTTAGAAATTAACCGATGAGAAACTAACAATAATTATGAAACGATTTTATTCGAAAATTTGATTAGAATGTTTAGTGTTAATGTTAAATTGAGAAATAAAAAATTCATTTCATCGTTTTTCTGCATTCAGAAAATTATCAATCAACAAATTGATAGAAATGATAGTCTCATTTTTCAAATTTTTTTTTCTAATTCATTTTTTTAAAAAAATGATAAAAAGCCGAATAGTTTGCATTTTCGGTATGTAGTTATATTTCTAATGCATAATATAGCTAGAAAAAAGGAAAGAAAAGAAAATTTTGGTCAAACTTATTAATTTACCGAAAAAAACGCATTATTTCACCTGGATTTCTATTACTTATATGACAATTAATATGAATCAAATATTTACCATGACAGGTCGATTCTTTTCGATAATTGACCTGCCAATTTTTGAAAGTGCTACAAATTATGTATTAATTAATATTATCACACTTTATTTTGTAATGAAATATTTTGAATAGATATTCAAACTGAAAAATTAGTGGGTCATATCAAATTTCACTTTCTCTCGCTGCAACATTATATACAGGTCGAGATTATCACTATTAATACGAATGGTTACACATATCAACATTTAATTCTTTTTTTGGCGGCCTAATATAAATCATCTCTCAATTTTTGAATGGGAAATAAATGCTTTGAATTAAAATCGCTGATGTAATTTAAGTATTATATATGAGTACATCATAAAAATATTCTTTATCCATGCTTAATTCAATTCTAAAATCGCCAATTATTATTGTATTTTGTTAGACTATTCTATTTATTTATAATGGAAAAGTTCAATATCGATCAATTTTTTTCCATTCAATTTACCGTTCAACGATGTTATGTACCTCTTGTTGTACCTGTATTGATCCAAATTGTACAATAGCCATTCATATATTCACGCCCTGTTGGGGTATTAAAAAGATCAAAATAAAATTAGCCTTTCCAATAAAATGCCTAGATACAATTATCAAGCGACAAATTTTCTATACAAAGGATCGTTACTATGTAAAGACTTACCGTTCTATTACTATGGTGTGAAAGAAGGAGATTGCCTTATAACTGTCTCTGCAAATACACCTAGTAGTAGGATATGATGGGTTTTGTGACTTTTTTTGTAAACGTAAGAATTCATACAATATCGAGCGATTTTGTATCATTTTTTTTAACATATGAAGTAAAAAATGTATGATTCTTACGGTTTTTATTCTTACGTTTTTGAATAAATCAAGATTTAAAAAATTTTCAAAATTGTAAGACATTTACACTCAGCCCATACATAATGAAATAAAAAAATAAAAATTTTAAAAAATAAACTTTAAAAATTCATGTCTTACGAAAAATTAAAACTTAGTTATGTTTATTATTTTATTTTTTTATTTTGTATGAAATGAGCGTCAAAACTAACAACGTTAAAAAATTAGGATTCACAAACGAGGAAATAAAGGATATATTAGAGGAGGTGGGTTATGAAGTTGATAAATATTATTTAAGAAATTGTCAAAAATTTGCCGAGTTATTAAATGATTTAGATTATGATGAAAAAATGAATAAAGATGATGTTATAAATTTCTTATATCCCACATCTGAAGAAGAAAAACCTAAAGAACCTGATGTTTTCCCTGAATATTATGAAGAACGGATTAAAGATGATGAATACAATGAAATTGAAAGACTGGAAAAAATAAGAGATGAAATAGATGAAAAAATTAAGGAATTAAGAGAAGTTGAAAATATAATGAAAATGAAGTAGAGGGTTTAATGAATATCCCAGCTTCAGAATCAGAAGTACAGAAATCTCATGAAGAAAGATATAAAAATTATGTCTCAGAATCAACACAAAATTTATTAGATGGTGAAATAGACGAAACACTTTCAGAAGAAGGTACTAAATTTATTCGTAAACATAAGTTACAATTTATTGATAATGAAGAATACCCCTGTATCCTACTTTCACCACCTTTAGATTCCAAAAAATTCAAAAAAGCTCTTAAAAACGTGACATATGCAACTAATACGATTAAGAAAGAAGATCATGATATTTACACAAATTATTATTTAAATAAATGCACAGGTGTTGATAAAGTTTTTGATTTATTAGATAAAATATCAAAAGAAACCATTGGAACATATAGGGTGTCCAAAGGTGTGTTTAGCACAAACCTGAATACTGCGAATAGAAATAAACAAGTTACATATATATAAAGTTTATTTAAATATAATCACCATTGGATTCAATCACGCGTTCGCAGCGATCGATCCAGGCTTCAAAGACACGCTTTAAATCATCATGAGAAAATTGCTCAAATTGCTCTCTTACAAAATTTTCAAGATCATCTGGACTCGCGAATTCGCGTCCTTCAGCTCTCTTTTTTAGCGTGCCGAATAAATAAAAGTCAGAGGGTGCAATATCAGGTGAATAAATTGGGTTTGGAACAACTTTGACATTGTTTTCCACCAAGTAATTCATTACCTTATGACTTTTGTGAACTCTTGAATTATCAAAATGAATTGCAAACTTTTGTTTTTGTTGTTTGGATTTCTCAAACTCATCAGAATTGATAATTTGAGTAAGAACATTGTCAATTAGATACTGAGCATTCATCGTATTAGGTTTTTGAAGAATATCAATTGCGATGATGCCATTCACGCCCAAAAAACCGACAACATAATCATTGGTGTGTCAATTTTTTTCTTCGGGAATGTTTGCGGATTTTCATCCTTCGGGATCCACATGATTTTGGCTTCTGTTGCATATTGAAACCAAGACTCGTCCCCTGTTACTAAAAAGCGAAACTTCTTGGATTGATACGCACGCAATATAGAGAGGAGCTCTTTCGAAGATTGGACTCTAGATTTTTTTTGAACTGAATTAAGGTTGTGCGGAACCCAACGTGTATACGCTAGTTTGTAGTTCAAATAATTGTGCAGATAATAACTGACTGTTGTACGTGGTATCTTTGTCATCTCCTCTATCCTTCTGAGTGATGCTCTTGGGTCTTCATCTAGCGCTCGAAGAATTGCTTTGATTTTTCTTTGATCCGGCGATTTTTTGTCAATTTTTATGATGGGCGCCTTTTTGTTCATGAAGTGATACATCCTAACATGATACGTTACAGTGGAATAGCTAGGAGCATCCATACCGAAGCATTTTACCAATGTCTCGTAGATTTTTTACAGTCTTTGCATTTTTTTGCAAGAGCGAGGATGTTTTCTTTATGATTCATTAAAAAAATGAAAAAAATCCCGCCAAAATTTCCGCGAAACCGCCTCTTGTCTCAAAATTCATTTTATATCCCGGCATGGCGCCAAAATACAACTTACTCATCATATACATATATTCATATTTTTTATTATATATTTATAATCAGCATATATCTCCTTTAATAGTCTCATATAGAGCGCTGTGCTAAACGCACCTTTGGACACCCTATATAAAATTTTATGTGATTGTGGTTTCATTGTTGAAGATACTAATAATGTTTCATATGAAAGAACAGCACCGAAGGAAGATGAAGTGGAAAGGTCTATACCATTCGTTATTAAGAACATAAAAGATATGAAAACTTATAAACATTATATTTATTCATTTATTTCAGAAAAAATGGAAGCAACCCATAAAACATCTTCTCATCATTTTATAGCTATTCATACATTCCTTTTCAAAGTTGTGAAATTAAATAAGACAGGAATTAGATTTAATGTATCAGGGTACGCATTCTTGAGTAAATTAAAATGTATTCGTCACGTCGCGGATGATAAAAATTTATGTGTTCTTAATTCATTTTATGGGCTTTAAAAAATAAAGTTTATTTTTATTTATTTTTTAATTTTTTATTCTTACATAAATGAACAAAAACGGAACAGCTAAAATGAATGATAATCAAATTAGAGCAGAAGGTAGAAGGTTATTTAAACACTTCTATAACATTCCTGATGGTGTTAATCCTAAAACTCGTAGAAGCTATTTAAATGAAGCAATAGATGCATATGAAGGGTTTGACATTTCATCAGAAAGTGAGAGATTAGCGAGAATGTTAAATGTTAATATTGATTTCTATTATTGTGATCCTCAACCAGAAGACGTGGACATAAATAAGGTAGACTTTCCATTATTGGAATCAATAATGATAGATCCAGAATTTGAAACAGTAAATATTTTATTAACACGGAGTCCATGTGGAAAACTTCACGCTGACCGAATAACAGACGTTGAAGCACTCACCGGCTATAAAGTTTGTCCATATTGTAAAGAAGAAGTTTATTCTATCCGTGATGATCCAGAAAGGAAAAACCAAAGAAGATTTTTAAAGCATTGTGAGAAATGTAAAGAAAATAATGGAAGATTAATTCAAGACGTTCAGTTGCAAAAGACACAGCAACCATATGCACCACATATTACGAAACAGAAGATATATCAGTGGTTATTAGCTCACAATTTGCAGAAATATTATAAACCGACAAGATATTATATTACTTTTGACTTTGAAACATTAGAGACTAAAGAAGAATTACAACTTTCTGAGTGTGCAACTTTGAATGCTTACTTAAAACCATTCATGGTATCATCAACAGTTAAATTAAATGATAAAACATACACGAGGAATTTTTGCTTAACTTCGAGTGATTCTTTTATTTCTGATTGGATTGAGTTTTTATTTTCAACCTGTTCATTAGTTGTTGAATCAAATATGAGTCAATATGAAGAATTATTGAAGCCGCAAACGGTGGGGACTTTGTCTCATACATTAAATGAAAAACAGAAGGAAGCATTTAAAGAACTTCTAGATGAGGAATTCAATAAAGTGAATATCATAGGTTTTAATTCGGGAAAGTTTGATTTAAATTTAATTCTTCGTGATTTAAACACTGCAAAATGGAAAATAAAATCAATGCTGGGTTCATCTTCACAATTTAAGCAAATCATTGTAAAGAAAACAAACGTTCCATATGAATTGAGATTTATTGACATCAGAAATTATATAGCGGGTGGGACATTAGATCAATTCACTCAAGATTTCGGAAACAATAAATCACGTGTTAAATCCTTTTTCCCTTATCAATTCATCACGTGGGAAAATTACGAAGAAGAATTATATAAAGTGGAACCATTCACTCAAGATTCATTTTATTCAGCATTAACTCAAGAAACTATATCAGATAGTGATTATCAAATATATCTCAATGATGCTAAAAATTTTAAGAATAGATTAGAATATTTTATTCATTATTGCAATAAAGATGTTGAAATTATGATTGACCCAATCGATAAAATTATTGAAGAAATATTTGTTTATAAAATTGACACGCTTCATAATCTTTCTTTATCATCGAATGCTTCAATGATTCGTTACGCTTTAGCATATAAAGACTTTAATCCTAATGAAAAATATCCTGAGGAAGAGATAGAATCAAGTTTTGAATTAACGAAAAAGTATTGGAAATATAAAATTGAATCATATAAGAAACAAGATGAAAAAGCAGAAAGAGATACTAAAAATAATGTTTCAATGGATGATTTTCAATACTATCACGATTTAATCCTTTCATCTAAATGCAAAATGTGTGGTAAAGCGTTTACATATGCTAATAAACCAACATTAGATAGAATCGATAATGAAAAACCACATACCAAAGAAAATTGTCAGTTAATGTGTTGTTATTGCAATGTCGTAAAATCAAATAAAGATGAAGATGTTCAACGTTTAAGAATCAATTTAAGAAATTATGCATTAAAAAATAATTTACCAATGACTTTAGATTCAGTTGAAGCTTATCACATTCTCCGGAATGGAATTACTGGTGGTCTATCAAATGTTCAACATAGAGTAAATCTTAAAGGAATCACGCACATTAATAAACTTTCATATAATCCAGAAACTAAAACTGTATCAAATGAGGACACCACCAACATCATGACTCATTTCGTTGGTGTTGATTTTAATTCATTATATCCTTCATCATTTTCATCTAATCCTCATGATTTCATTCAATATACTAACCATAAAATGTATATGCCGGGAAGATTGAATGGTGTTATCATTTGTGATACAGCAACAAAGAAAGCAAAAGCACTGGGAATTATTAGAAAGAAAAATACTTTATTCGTGGCTGAAGTAAAGGGTCACATTGATGAAAAATACATTAATGATTACATAAACTTTTTACCGATAATAAGAAACTTAGATATTATCACAGATGAAAAAACAATTGGCAGTTTTATGTATAATTACATGAAATCAAACAATCTACCAGTTGACCAGAAACAGAGGAAATTAACTCAGTTAGCATCAACACACAACCAATATCAACCATTTTCTTCTTATTATCTTTGGTATCTAATAGACAGATTTCATTTTATCATTGATGACATTCAATCAATTTTAACATTTACTAAAAACACTTGTTTTAATGAATTTGCGAACGAATTTATGAACGAAAGACAAAAGGCTAAATTAGAAGGAAATAAAGGAAAAAGTTTATTTTGCAAGATTTCGCTTAATGGATCATATGGTTACGATGCAATGAATACACAAAATTACGCAAAGACTAAAATAATGAATGCACAGAAGGCACGCGTTGCATGTATGTCAAATAAGTTTAAAAACATAAGAGAAATAGGAGAGGATACGTATCAAGTGATGCTCAAAGATAGATTTTATAGATGTGATACATGTTTACAAGAGGCATTCTTCACTTTAGATAATGCTATAGATCCGTATTTTTCCCAAGTGAGCGGGGTATCTCCAATCCCAGCCCTATCGTCCTCCCAGTGTCAGTTTTCAATATAAAATCCAAATTTTTTTTGAAAATAAAAATTTCGAGAAATTTTTTTTTGATTTTTTTCTTTGATTTCAATAATTCAAAATAAATTTGGGAGTAAAAAGACACTATTTAATGAATTCATATGAGTGAATGTGGATAAATACTCTCAAAACATACAATTTATCTATTTTTTCTTTATATTATCAACTAATTAGTGATAATTTTTTTTGAATCAGATTTTTTTTCTTTAAAAACATAATATATAACACAACAATGATCCACACATACGTATCTACACATCAAAATATAAAGCTTGTTTTGGTCTGGGCATCCCAACCCAAAATTCTTAAAAAATTGAATAAAATTGAATACTTGGGGCTGGGATACCTCCCAAAACCGAATTGAATTTTTTGAATTAAAGAATATATTTATGTATTTATAATATACATGTGATGTCTATAAAAAATACTAAATTCTAAAAAAAAATTCAATTTATTCAAAACGTATACTAAGTGATCACTTCATTAGTAGGATCAGCAATCCTACTAAATGGTGAAACGCCACTAACTAAAAAGGGAGTCCTTGGAGCTCTTGATCTCTTGTCAGTAGAGTTCATAATGAGGCATGGCATCTACTGATTAGAGATCAGAGCAATCCTACCTTACCTTCAGGAGCTACAAAGCTCCTAATCGTTTACGAGGGGGAGCCTTGGAGCTCCTGAAGCTCATCAGCAGAGGCTATTTACCATTTGGGCCTCTTCTGATGAAAGATGCGAAACACGTCTACGAACCAGGAGCTTCAAAGCTTCTAATCCTTACTAAAGGGAGCTTTGGAGCTCCTGAGTCTCCATCAACATAGTCCCAGATGGTAAATGTCCTTTGCTGATGAAGATGCGAAACACATCTACGAACCAGGAGCTCCAAAGCTCCTAATCCTTACGAAAGGGAGCTTTGGAGCTCCTGAAACTCCTTTTACTATAAAATAGGACAGTTTTCTTCTGAGGTTCTCATCAAATCTAAGACTTCAGAAGAAAGCTGTCCTATCAATGTATACTTACACTCTCATGGACTACAAGTGTACAATTTTAAGGCAGAGATTATCCGAGGCCTCTCATCAAATGAGGGACCTCGGATAATCTCTACCTTAAGTAGTCAAATAACTTTTCTCACTATTTAGGAACAAAAGAACAAGAGTTGGAGTACTTTAAGGCAAGATTCTTCCGAAATCTCTCATCGAATGAGAGACTTCGGAAGGACCTTGCCAAATCCTTGAACGCCAATATCCTTGGAACTGAGCTAGAACCAGGGAGAAGTAGCATACTATAGAGCACGATGGTAATCTCGGAAATGCTTATATCGCCCCAAGCACAATATTTAAGAAGTCTAACTCATATATACAAGAAGTCAGGCTGAATAGATATTGTGCATATGGTTTGCAGAACTCTCATGATATTTAAAATTCATGTTATCCCAAAAAAGGTGACACTTTGGGTGTATCGTCCATCCCAGGGATGCAAAAATCACATCACCTTGGATCTATAATAATGCTAAATACTGGTATTTGGTTTTCATTTATGATTTTATGTATAAATGCATGAATGTTAATCGTTTTCATTTCATTGAAGGTGATACTGATTCATCTTATTGGGCAATCGCTGGCGATCCAAATCTTCCTAACACTCAAGCATTTCAAGCAATTGTTACCGATAAACAATTTTATGATAAAAACATTTTCAAATTCGCACCATTTGATTTCTTCTGTTTTGATGAGAAATTTAAACCTAAATTAAAGAATAAAGCTGAAGAAAAAGCACATGAGAAGAAGTTATTGGGTTTAGCAATTGAGAAACAAGGTGATAACATGGTTGCTTTATGCCCCAAGTGTTATACATCATTCAACGGTTCAATTGATGGAAGTGATTTTAAAAAGATTGCACAAAAAATGAAAGGTGTTAGTTTACGACAAAATAAACAATTAACACCTAAAAATTATTTGGATATAATAAATGATAAAGTGATATTTGATGGTCAGAATATTAATTTACAACTTAAAAACGGGTCAATGACTCGCTTAACAATCGGTAAGACTGCATTAACAGGAGCACACACTAAGGCTGTATGTTGTGAAAATGGATGTTGTATGCCATTTATTTAATACAATTTAAAAACGTAGGGGTTGAGTCATGAATTTAAAATTTTATTTTTAATAAAATACCACAGAAGAGACAAAAGGAACCGTTAATGATGTGATTCAATATGCAAATAATGGTTTTGATACTATGATTCAAAGAGGTGGGCACCCTTAAAACATTTATTTTATTTTTATATAAATGGATAACGTAGATTTAGAAATTTTAATTGATGATTTAGTATTTTATCAAAATTTTCTTAATTATTATGAATTAAAATCATATCTCCAAAAACATAATAAAAATATAACGGGTGATGATATGGATTATTATTATCGGTATTATAAAAATGAAATTTTGAAATATCATGATAAAATAATTTCTAAAATTAAAGACAAAATTAAAAATAATGAATATACAAAGGGAAAAACTAAATCACAACTTAAACAGTTGAAAGATTTCAAAAATAAAGTATTAACAGAAGAAGATATTGATGAATTATATAAATTATATAATCCTGAGCCGCAAAAGCCAAAGAAGAAAAAGCCGAAAACAACACCAAAAGAGAAAGTAGCAAATGTTCAACAGCTAAAGGTGCAAAACACCCAGGTCCTTCAGACCATAAATGATGCACAAGCTTTAATTTATGATTCATTAGTTAAACCATATTCAGCCCGACTTTTAAATGAAGATCAACTTTTGGAATTCATCCTTCAACATAAACTCGAAGCGGGAAAGTATATCAAACCTTTATATACAGCATATTTAAAACAAATGAATAGAATACATCCAGAATTAATGAAAGGAAAATCAACAACTAAAACTTCATCATCCAAAATCAAAGCAGATAAAATTAAATCACTTGCAATACCAAAACCTCCAACGGCAGTACCTCCTCCTTCAGTTAATCCTTCATCATTCACTTTATTATATCCATTTCAAACATTAAAGAAGCAAAAAGATTTTAAAAAGGATTTCAAAATATTAAATAAACCAACTGACCCGAAAATTCAACCGTTAAAGGAAAAATTTAGTCGCCCTTCATTTGCACCATATCCATATTCATACGAAATCGATCATTTAGAATATTCAAAAGGAAACGTTACTTATTTATTTGCCATTAACATTAACACCAGATATTTATATTGCATTCCGGTGAAAGGGAAAACAGAACAGGAAACAAGAAGAGCTATACAATACTTACTAGATCATGAAAGAGTAGATAATATAATGGGTGATGGTGATAAAGGATTTCAGGCAGCTATGGCTCATTATTTTCCACAAATTAATTTTTACTTTTCATCCTCTCCATATACGTTTCATAATAAAATAGTTGATGCGGTAATGAGAACTCTTAGAGATGCGTTAGGGGTTAACGGTCAGATATACTGGGATGGAAATCATGACTCCATCATACAGCAGTTAGTATATTATTACAATAATACATGGCATAGAACTATAAACATGAAACCAGTGGAAATGAAAAATGATATTTCAAAAGAATGGGAATATATTAGAAAGCAAATGGAAAGGTTAAATGATGTTAAACGTGAACAAATTAATTCGGGGCTCATGAATTTTAAACAAGGGGATAATGTTTTGATTCATCTCGATTATGGAAAAACTGATAAATCAATGACAAAAAGAAGACGAAGATTTGACACAATAGCTGAATTTGTTAGATATATTAACGGTAATGCATTAGTTGAGGTTAACAATAAATTAATAGAAATTCCGATTTATTTTATTACTCCATTATATTTAAATAATATATAATTTTTTTATTTCGTAAGAAACGAGTGACAACGAAGCATCCAAGAGTCCTGATTCAATTAAGATTCAGAGTCCAGACGATGAATATAAAAAGAAACTAAACAGAATTAAATCAAAAATATGCTATTATAAAAAGAAGCCGCAATGCGGTGGGGCTGAAAACGATAAAGAGAGGAAAGAAATAATCGAAAAATGAGTGAAGCAAAAATAAAAGAATTTAATAGAATAAATAAATTGATTGGAAGAGATGAATTTAATAAAGATGAATTTTTAAACTCAATCCAAATTTAATTTTTTCAGTGCTACCATGTTACCATGTGCTACCATGTCAATTAACTTCTCTTAAAAATGATGACAACATGACATTTTGACAACAACACAGGAAATAAATGTTATCGTTTATGTTTTCATTAATGATTTTAGGTTATTCAATAATTAATTATTTTTGAATAACTGAAGGTGTCACTACGTCACCATGTGTCACCAGGTTAATTAACTTCTCTTAAAAATGATGACAACATGACATTTAGACAACACAGCAGGATTAATGCAAAAATAAATTCAAACTTCATCGTATATGCTTTGTGAATGTCTTACAAACACGTATGAATATCTTATGCGGTGGGAAGCCAGATGGAAATAAATTTACGTCAAATATGTAATTTATAAAATCTTATGTCGACAGGCTACGTAGCACAGTGGTCTAAAGTGGTGTTATGGAGGGGTTAGGGTCTGTGGTTCGTGGTTCGAACCGCGACAGCGCCGTATTTTCTTATTTTCTTTGTTTGTCTTGTTTGTCGTGAATAAAAAGTGTCATAAAAGTGCTCTATCTTCCACGGGAATAAATAAAAAATTTACTTTATTTCTTCTTAATTTCTTTGTTCCCATGGAAGAAGGGTTTTGCTGTTTTTTCTCAGCCGAAATCAATGATTTTTTCATTTTTGGAATCCTTAGCGAATGAGGAATCTTTTCTCTCGTGGAAGCTTTGACCAAAAATATATTTTAGGTGAAGAGGTGAGATCTCACCTGTTTTTTCACCTGTTTTTTCACCTAATTTTTCACAAGCGTTTTACATGAATTGTACGATGTATATTTGAAATCCTAAACAATTTCGTAGTTTCTATTTCTTCTTTTAGTACATCGAATGTTTTAATCATGCCGAAAGTCTCTTTATATTTCTTCTTGACCTCAGACAGAAGGAAATCTTCTGCTGTTGGATAGTTTTTATTAAGAAATGTCAACATATCCATTTTATCTTCTGCTGGCTTTTCTGCTTCTTTCTTTAAGTCTGCATAGTCGTTTCGCATTCTTTCTATCTCTTTGACTGAGTAGTTATATTTTCTTATTGCTGCTTTACATTTTGAACATTGCGGCATCGTTTTTGCGTTATACATTGAAATAAAACCAGCTAGAACAACTAAGGCGTCAATGGTTTTCTTTAACTCAAAAGCTGATGGTTTTATCTGTTCATTCCATACTTTACCTCTTCTATCTTTATCTCTTATCTGCCATACACATTTTGCAACTAATGAAACAAAGTTATCGTATGTCTTAAATTCTTCGGATTTGTAAAGGTCAGAAATATTTTTATAAACCATGTCGCAATCTTTGTCCATAACTTTATGGTTGCAATGAAAACCAAGGAATTCATAATTTACTTTACGTATGAATTTCTTAATTTCTACTGAGTCAGTTGCTTTGACTTCAATTTCGTCGAATTCAGGAATAGTTAGTTTTTGCTGCTGAATTTCAGGTAGTTTAGGCAAATGGTCGATGAGATCCTCCATTTCATAAAGATACTGTTCATTTGTTTCATCTTTCGCACTACAGTCTAAATTACTTGTTAAAAGTTCTTGCTTTATCTTCTGGATTTCTGTTTCAAAAGTATATGAAGAAGGAATAAAGCTTTTCATCTCTACCAACATTGACGTAGGATTCATGACTAGCGAGTTTGGTGCTGTTGTTTGAATTGTTGTTGTGCCGATTGTTGAAATCATATCTTTTATACAAAATAAAAAAATAAATAAATAAATAAAAATAAAACTAACTTTATTTTCTATCTTAAGGAAATTCATGAAAATTCACGAGAAAGCTAAAGCAATCTGAGCCGCTAAGCGGTGAGGGTGAAAAAACAGGTGAGATCTCACCTCTTCACCTAAAATATATTTTTGGAATTTTGTGAAAACTCAACGGTTTGACACATGCCATATGCCATTTTACTCAGAATTTTGTGCTGAATTCAATAAAAATAAATGGTTCATTTACTCACAATATTTTTGTACAAAACGACCCCAAACTTTTAACTTCTTTTCTGCAGTTTCTAATGCTATCTTAGCGAGTTCATATTCTCTAAATTCTCTCTTTAAATCTTCTTGTTCCCATTGGTCTAGTTCGTATGGAGAATCTCTATAGCCATAACATATCTCACGTTCATGTTCTAATTGTTTTTCGCACATTTTTCTAACTTCTTCTTCAAACAAATGTTTAGCATTTTCTACTGTATCTTCGAGTTCTTCTTCATCTAACTTCTCATGAACTTTCTTGTCTATGGAGTCCATAATTTTTCCAACTGCTATGCAATATTTTGGAGAGGCCCACATTGCTATATAGTTTATAAGTCTTGGGTCTACATACGTTCCTCTAACCTGTTTGATTTCATCAGGAATTCCGGCATGAATTTTGTATAAAAAGCAACAGTCCGAATTCCGGCGGTTGCTATATTCTTCACAAAACGCCTTATAATACTCTTCCCAGGACTTATTTTCCAACAACTTTCTAAAGTCTTTCCTAAACTGCTGACACATCTTTGTTGCATTAATGTAACCATCCTTGTCTCTACGTAAGACTTCAATACCATTATAAGTGCCTTTTGTGAATGTTTCGCCATTAGATTTGTTCGTGAACGTCCGTGCTTCGACTGACATTTCTGTTCTTACATACAAAATAAAAAAATAAAAATAATTCATAAATGCCTTCCTCCTGAACTGTTGTCAAAATGTCATGTTGTCATCATTTTTAAGAGAAGTTAATTAACCTGGTAGCACATGGTAACATGGTAGCAGTGAAATAAAATTTTGTTATCAGTTATTTTATCATCATTTTATTAAGTTCATCTTTAGTTAATAATTTGAATGGATTCGCTAATGTTCCACCTTGAGTCACAACACTTGCCCCGGCTAATTGTGAAGAACCTGGGATAAGTACTCCATGAAATGATTTCATTGGTATCATTAATTTAGAAATAGTTGGCTTAATTAATTTTGTCATTTATGATAAAAATAAAATTGCATAATTTAAATTTTTTTCTTTCTCATTTTCTCATTTTCTCATTTTCTCATTTTTCATCCTGTTTTGGTTTCAGCAACTTTTCAAGTTGTTGTCTTGTCAGTAACTTTAATTTTAACTTTGGATCAAATATTGGGTTTCCATCTTTATCTCTTCCAATAACACCATATGGTAGAATCTTCATTTATACTAAAATAAAAATTTAAATTATGCCGTTCGCTCTTTTGGAGCTCAGGACTTTCAGTCCGTTCTAAAGTTTGTTTCACAAACATTGAGCGTTCATTGAACTCTATACCATGCAAATATAGTCACAAATGGTGGCATATAATCTTCACCCGAGCCTGTTGGATTTGTTGTGAAAGTGTGTTAATGATTACCTGTGGTTCCACAGAAAATACCTGTGCTTGAATCTACTGAGTCACTTGAAATATCATATCTATCCATTCCCTGTCTATCCGAACCTGCTGCAAGATTTCTATAACCTCTTTTTGTTATTGAATGTGAATGACTACCTGTTGTGTTTGTAGTTCCTGTATGAGTGTGCGGTGGAAGGTTTGCTTCTTTAATTTTCTTCGAACCTCCCGTTTGCTTTGAATATCTAGCACAGTATAAGAATTTATCTACAATCTGTTCCCAAGTACCAAAACCTAAAACCGTTTCTGGATTTGTTGAATTCATTGATGTATATATTGAACCAATGGGGTAAATCATCTCAAGAATTGTATTTAATCCATTATGAATATTGAATTTATTATATAATATTGAAACTGGGTGAGTATTTAAAACTGGTCTTGTTATCAATATTAACGTATTATTTTTGAAAATTGCTTTTCTAACATCTTGAAATTTTGTGATTTCAGACCAGTTTCTTCCATCACTACTGATATTTACTAAATCACCACATCCTAAAGCAATGAAATACCCATCAATATAAAATAAATTTGTAAATCTATAATTTCGAGTAAGTTTTGGAGTGAATGAATAAACCAATTCCCAATTTGATAAATCCTGTGATAAATAAATCTGTCTGTTATAACTTACAGGATATGAATAGACCATTTCACCTGAAACGAGAACACAAACATTTGATCCATAACATAAAGCTTCAATGTCTCCATCAGCTTGAAAAATTTGTTCAAATTGACCTTGTGGTATTGAAGATGATCTATAAATTTTATCATTTTGTAGGATAAAATACATGTTGTTAATGTAATACCACTTACTTGTATAATCAATTTCCAAATCTGATGACATCATACTAAACATATAATAATTTATCCCATCCTCACTAATGAAAATTTGATTGACTTCATAAATTAGTACCCATTTATTATTAACGCATCTAATAGGATTATATGGGATATTTAAATTTAGCATCTTGATTTAAATTACATTTGAACCATTGGATACAATCGAATGAATAACAAGGGCAAAAATCATCTCCAACCGTTATCATTCCCATAAATTTACCGTTATTATATTCAACATATAAAATTCTTGGATTAATGTTGGCTTTCGTGTATCAGGATTCCAAACAGATGGAGTAAATGATTCATAGTTTTTAAAATCATTTGTTTTAAAATAATAAAGCACTCCAGCTGTATAAAAAATACATGGTCACTCCATCGAAACATATCCATTCAAAAGAATCTATATCAAAGGTTTTATCTGATGATTTCATAAAATTTAAAAATGGTGGAGTAAAATAGACCTTTTATTTCTTCATTAACAAATGATATATCAGCTTTCTTTGCTAACTCAGTATTAATGAATGAAATAACTTTTTCCTTATCTGCTTTCTTCTCTAACTCATCATTAACATAAGTTTTATCTGCTTTAAGGTCTAAACATCCTGAAACCCATTCTGTATCAGCTTTAACTTTAAAAGTCTCCAATGTCCATTCATGATACCATTCAACCTTTTCTTTAATTTCATTATCTTTTTCATCAACATAAACCAAATTTGCCTTCTTATTTAATTCACTATCCACATATTGCTTATCTGCTTTCTTCATTAACTCACTATCCACATATTCCTTATCCACCTTCTTCATTATGTCATTTAGGAAACCTTCTATGAATTCCTCATTTAAATTAAATCTTCCAATCTTCAAAACTTTAGGAAATGCATTTAATGCGTAATATCTCTGTTCTTCTGGTGGAATTGATGTTATATCATCCGTTATTCCTTTAATTTTTGAATTCATAAATAAAATTTCTTTTATATTTGATATCACTGCACCACCTTTGCAAACGAATTCGAAATGGTCATTTTTCAATACTATCTCTAAATCTCCATATTTCAACCTTTGCGTTTGTTCTGCCGTCTTTGAATTATATGCATATGTGGCGTATGTAATGGTCTGAAGGACCTGGGCGCTTTGCGCCTTAAGTTGCTGTTGTTTAATCATTTATTATGATTTAAAAATAAATATTTAATCCGTTATCTCATCAGCTATTTTTTCTATTTGAAATTGCCATAATATTTCATTCATAAATTCTAAATCACAATCAAATAGGTCGGTTATTCTAAATTTAATATTTGATAAATCTTTTGAATGAAGAATAAATGAATTCCCGGATAATTGAAACGGATATGATAAAGAAAATGTGTTTAAGTTGATGGATAAAATGTTTTGTATTGATGGGTAAGAGTTAGGGTCTAATGTTTGATGTGAAAATCTCATTGGGGTATTAACTTTATCACATTTGATTAAAATGAAATTGGAACCAGTGTCAGAATACAAAACATCCCCAACATCTTTTTCAAAATTTAATATCCCCAACAATGAACGAAGATGAGGAGTACAAAATTTAATTTTCAGCGGGAATTTAATAAGGTTATTTATTTCATCAAGTTCAAAAAGTTTATCGGGTTTTGATTTAAAATTTTCTTCATACCATACGATAAATGATTCATTTAAATAACTTAAAATCATGTTAATATCCCATTTCGCTATCACATTATTTATATACATATCATACGTTTTTTCATGGTCATCTTTAATAAATGATATATAATCTGAAGGGTCTAAAAGAATGGGATTAAATTTACCACTCACAGAAACGAGAGTAACATTATAAATTCCGCTAACTGTTAAATTTAATTCACAGTTATTATTCGAAATAATATTGATAATTGACATTTTTATTACGATTAAAAATATGGTAAAGCGTTATTTTCCAGTGATAAATAAAACTAGAATAAGATTACCTCAAGAATTCATAAATTCAACGAATAAGAAATTCATTCATGTTATAAATTTTAGTGTTTTCAGAAAATATGAGTCAGTGTCATATTCATCAACAGGTTATATTTCACTTCATTCAAATTTAGTTCAATCAAACCCATATAATGACCATTTCATAAGATTTTCAGATGGTATTAAAAATGTAATTGATAGATTAAAATATGAACAGATTGACAATATCGAATTTTTGGAATTTTGGTTTAAATATCCCGATGGAAAAAAGATTGAAGTTAAAGATAAAGCTGATACTATAACAAAAACAATTACAATGACCGATCCGGATAGTGGGGAACAAAAAGAAATAAAACAAACGATAGAAACTGGTGAAAGGTCAATTATTATTGATTATGATTCAAAGGATTATTATTCGATAATGTTAATGCTTTGAATATTAAATAGCCTTAACAAAGAATTTTTCAAGTGATATTATATTCATCAACTATTTTATTATAAATATCATTATATGTTAAATGAAGTTCAGTTGTTGTTCTGTTCTTTGATATCTTAATTGTGCTAATATCCTTTATAGGATTTATTTTTGCAACTGTTCCGCAGCATGAAACCTCATCATCTATGAAAAATTGAATCTTAACGTCTGAATCTTGAACATCACAAAGAATGGCGATAATGTGAATTAATGATTCATAAGGTAAAATAATTAAACCGGATTGGTCAATTAAATTTATTATTGAATCATAATTATTAATTATTATATCACGGTAAATTTTCATTAATTCAGAATTGATGTCTATTTTATATGGGTTCTCGATGTTTGATGAAAGAGGTGGGGGGTATGTTGGATAAGTGGGAATTTCAACGGGTTCTTTACCGGGTTCAGATAAAATGATTGGGTCTCCATTCTCATGGTTTTCTTCATTCTCCTCATTCTTCGGTAAGTCACGAGTTAATAAATTTGGTTGAGTTGCTGACCTTGTTAATTCAGGGCTAACATTAACTTTAACATTTGAATAATTCGTGATTTATCATCATTTACGTTATAACCAACCGTAATCTCTGCTTTTGCGTTAGTGTTCTTTTGACTAGTGAAACGTCTTCTCATTTATATTCGAATAAAAAAATATATTTAAACTTTTATTTTGCTGGAAGTTTTGAATCTATTATTCCCTGTATTTGTTCTTGAAGTTGATTTTTAGCTGGTTCATTGTAATTAATAGACCTAATATATTCATTAATTGCATTCTTATAATCATCTGATTTCTCAAATTTTCTTTTATCTGATTCCTTAACTAAATCATAAGTTAAACCTCGTTGCTGATATAATGGTTTCTTAATTAAATCTTGAATGCTTGAGATAAAGCACCTGATGCAATTCTTGCTACTATAATTGGTTGGAATTGCTGTTTAAGTTCATCTTTAACATTTGCGAAAACTGGATCGAATAAAGCAACTTTAAAGAATTTCTTAGCTGAAATTTCAGGTCTAATATTTGCATATTGACCATCAAACTGGTTAGAATATCGTGGTAATCCATCCGGTCCCTCTTCAATAGCATTTAATTCTTCATTGAAATAAGAATATGGATTATGACGGTATGAATTAATTGGACCATTTTCGCCTTCTCCAATGTATTGTTTAACAGCTTTTCCATTTTCATCAAATTGCATAGGATAACGTTCATTGTATGCTTTACGTTTAGGATAATCAGTTATAGTTAATTTGTAACCATTTATGACTTTAATATTACCTTGACCATCAGTAACGAAACTTCATTTATACCATCAGGTTTTCCATTTGGACCCGTAATGTCTGCTTCGTGTGCTTCCCAATTTGGACCTTGACGTTTGGCATATGCTTGAGCTTCTGGTAATGTTAAAACGTTCTCATTTGTTTAACATCTTTTTGAAGACCAGCAACAATATGAACTAATTCTTTCATTCCATCAGGAACTTTCATAGTTCTATTATATGCACCCTTTTTGTTTGTCCCTTGTTTTAATGGAACCTGTAGAAGATTTGCTATTTCTGTCATGTTTAATTATAAATAAAAAATAAAAATTAATTATAAAAAGTTAATCAAATTTAACACCTCCTTTATTTAAATCAACTATTATTTTTCCATGTTCACCTAATTGCTGATATTGTGTGTAAAGTTCATTAATGCTCATTGGTAAATTCACTTGATAAAGCATAACGTTCAACTGTTGACGACTAAACCCACTGAAAATGAAAAGTGTTGATAGATTTGATTTAATGTTTGTGCTTAATGCTTTGAAATATTGAACAGCCATAAAGAATGAACACTGAATGTGTCGACATTGAGTTAATAACTGATTGAAATATGATTTCTCATTTGTTATTAGTTTTGATTTCACTGCATCATCTAGAAAAATGAGTGAATGCAAAAATTCTCTATCAAAATTTGAAATAGAAAGTGTTTCAAATAATTCATCCCGTTGTTTATCAATAATTTTATCCTCTAATCCTTGCTTCTTGATTGTATTATATAATTCTTTATACATTAAAAAGTTTTTTAAATAATCTTCTGCTTCTTCTTGTGATAAATAAATAATTGGAATTTTGATTAAATGCTTTAAAGATTCAAATGTATCATCTGAAGGTGAACCTGAACGGTTGATATAAATTAACACATGTGAATGGGGGGAAGTGTTAGCAATAATGATAATTTGTTTTAATATCGTTAATGTTTTACCTTTATTCTGTTTACCAATTGCTGCAGTGATTGAATTTTAAGTAACATTCAGAATATGGAATTTTCATTAATTTTTCCTTAGATAGAGCATTTCTATTATCACTCAATGCTTCATTAATCATATCTCTACGTATGTATTATATACTCCTGCTAATTCTTCATAAGGGGTGGATGAATTTAAATCCATTTAATCAAAAATAAATTTATAATTTTAAACATTTCTATTCATCAATATTTCATCATATGAACTTCTATACTGTGGTGGTGTACCTGTTGGATGATATTTCAAACCTTCATCCGGTGTCCATGTCCAATATGTAGTCCTAGTAAACCAAA